GAGAGAGAGAGAGAGAGAGAGAGAGAGAGAGAGAGAGAGAGAGAAAGAGAGAGAGAGAGAGAGATTCTTTCTTTCTGAGACTATCTGCAACCTGGTCAGAGAGCTACAGGGATGTAGGTTTTAAGCCGTCACTCATGCTGAGAGTCACCTATGCTCCTGTAAGGAACTCTCCATATTAGGAGCCATCTCTTTGGTCTGCCTGTGCTCTGTCAAGCCGCCCCAGGAAGAGCCATACAGCAAACACATTATTGACTGAGGACATCCTATTACCCCCTCCAAGAACCATTATGATTAGGTATTGATACTTTCCCTATTTTAAAACTGAGGAGACTGACTCAGTTTGGTGGCACACACTTTTAATCCCGGCACTTGGGGAGTCAGAGGCAGGTGGTTCTCTGTGAGTTCAAGGCCAGCCTGGTTGAAATAGTGAATGCCAGGCTAGCCAGGGCCACACAGGGAGACCACAAGCCAGTGTCTCAACCACAAACAAACAAACAACCCCAAAAGGAGGAGACTGAAGCGGAGAGAAAGTGGTGAGATGCCCAAGGTCGTATGGCTTCTGAGGAAGGAATCTGGATATGTTTGGCTTAATAAAGGCTCCCAGTTGTTCTCATTGATATTTGTGGGAAACCGAAGCCATGTTATTTATTGCAGAAAAATTTAAGAGTCCGTGTGCCACAGGAATCTGCCACCCAGTGTCCACCGTGACCTAAATGCCTGTTCCTCCTCTCCACCTCATCCCTCTAAGCCAATGAAAATGGGCGTGGCTGGGTAGTGATACTTTTGCTCTCCCACCCAGTTCTCTATAGACCCAGAGGTGACTCAGAAGCAGCAAGAATCTAGTGATTCACTCACTGGGGAAGAAGATGAAGGAGAAGGTGCAGGGAGGGATGGTGGGTGGCGCGGAAGGGCAGGGCAGGGCAGGACGGGGTGGGACAGGTATGCAGAGCAGGCCAGGTTGCAAGAGGGAGAGAGTACGTACAGATCCAGAGTGGGTGGAGGTGGTGCTCATCATGGGGTCACAGCTGCCGATGTGGGTCACAGGTTCTGAGCAAGGCCCTGCTGGCCAAAGCTCCTTCTTGGGCATCGCCTGGAGCAAGGCGCAGGCAGGGATGGTGAGAGGGGCCCCCAGAGGGGAAGTGAATGGAAGTGAAGATTATGTCCCAAGCCGGGCCTGAAAAGAGAACAATCAAAGCCACCTGTGAGCAGAGGCTTCCGCAAAGCACTGCTCAGGCCCCGGGGTTTTATGGCAGCAAGATACCAAGCAAGCACAGAGTTGGAAGGGGGCCATGGAGCAGTCACGTCGGAACTCCACCACCAGTCTACGTGGAGGGACACGTAAGACAGTTCAAATGCATGCAGAAGGATGGATTCAGGGAGCAGAGATGCAGGCTAGTCAGAAAAGAGGTTCTGCTGGTTCCTCTTAGCTGCCATTTTTTTTTTCTTCTATGAAGCAAGGGACCCAATTTGTAATTTCATTATGCAACCCAACATACATTATAAGGTTCTGAGTTTGAATCCCAGTTGAGTCAAAGTTAGTTACTTGATTTTAGGCAAATTACTTGTTAAATATAATTAATTTAAGGATTAAATGGGAGGCCAGTTAGCACATACAGCTCTGTTGGTAGCAGATAATCAGCAAGTGAATTAAAAGGATAACTATTATTGTTGTTATAAAATTTGGACAGGATCCATCTCAGACCAAATTAAACCCAAGCACAGGAACCAAGAGTTTTGGAAAGAAGGGATCGGTTTAAACAGAGGGTATAGGCTTGAGAGCAGGAACAGGGCCCTTGATAATGTGCTTCTCAGAGGTAATATGAGAATAGGGAAACGGAACAGCCTATATAGAACAGTGTATGCCCACTAATGCCAGCTACAGCTGTTGTTAATAATATTATAAACAAGATACTTCTGTCAAGAAGGCTAAAATCATCTTTCTGCCCTGGGCCACATGACCATGGCACCTGCAGCGGTGGGGGGGCAGGCCCATTTCCCCCACGTGACACTTGTGTTCTGCCATTTATGCGTTTGCAGCGAAGTTCCCTAGACTATGTCAAATGACAGGAAAAATGTCCCGTGTAGCTCCTCTCAATCCCAGCTTCAATGGGAGAAATAGTTCAAGTTCATTGTGGCAACAGCAATAGCAAAAACCAAAACAAAACAGAAAACCATCTCAATTGCTGCTACCGAAATACCTAAGGATTTTTCACTTCTGCCTGTGGGAAATAGTCCACCACAGCAGGGCAGGTCAAGACTAACTCTCTTTATAGAAAATGAAAATTTAAAAGAATTACGAACAAAATTCAGTTGTAAGGGCAAAATATCCAGTTAGGGGAGAGCTAGAATGACAATAAGTTTTATACGCTTCAAATTCATATTTTGCCTGTAACACTAAGGCATATTTGAATCATTTCTGCTAGTCTTCTAATAGAAGGTAAATTGCCCCGGGACAGTATGTCTTATCTGAGATCTGGAGACTTGGGGCTTAGATGCCAGGGTACATATTCCTCTGCTGATAGTTGTTCCAGTACCAATGTCAACTTTGGGCTCGGTTAGGTCAATCAGTCCTCCAACCTGGTCATTCTGGCAAAGGTAAGGCGAGGCCTCACAAGGCTCCTCCCCTGCTTAGGAGAGACCCATAAATGGGGTATGGAAGGGTGAGAAGGAGGCTGGGGAGAGAAAAGGTAGGGTCCTGAGCCAGACACATAGGTTCAGAGCCTCTCAGGAGGTGAGGAGGGGCCCAGAAGAGAAGGAACAACAAAGAAGCCCCCTGCTAATCAACACTGGGTGGGGTAGCTCTAGGATTTCTCCCTGAGGTCAGCTCCTCGAGGTCAGGTTAGCTCCTTGACAGCCCAAACCCAAAGAAACAGAAACTCAAGGGCACTCGTAGACTAAGTCTAGTCACCTCAGCCATACATTTAGTGTTAGTGATTGTTGGAGCTGAGAATGCACTAACCTATTCCCAGCCTTCTGCAAGGCCACTCAAAGCTGTCCTCTGCAGAGACACATCTGCACGTAGTGCTTAGGGGAGGCGGCAGCTGAGTGCTCAGACCTAAAGAAGACATTCGTACTGTCCCCACCAAGGCTCAGAGAATACTGTGGAAGCATGGGTAGAAAGGCCGAAAGCCAGAAATGCAGTGTGCGTGTGCATGTGTGTGTTAGGCATGGCATCTCCATGTACTCATGCCTTCTCCACAACCTCTGAAGACTGCACTGGGTCTGCACGAGAATGGGCCACCAACAGCCAAGCAAGGACGGAGGAGGCACTCAGGGTGCCCTACCCCTCACTGCTGAACTATTTTCTAGGGAAACATTCAGGGAAAGGGGGAGTGTGAATTCAGTGTATTCCCTGGTGATCCCACCGTTGGTCACAAGAATGACCCTGGATAAACTAAATGGGCTGCACGACAAAGTCCCAAGTCATGAATGTGGGAACGGGGCAGCTCGAGAAGAGGAAAGGATCATGAGGTAGGAGGAAAGGGTGTGGGAGAGAGCAACCGGAATAGATTATATACATGTATGAAACTGTCAAAGAGCTAAAGTAATTTTAAAAAACAATGCTGTCTGAATAGCCTATAGGGTGAGTTGTTTGGATGGAGGCTTCTTCTTGGCTTCAGTTCACCACTGGAAGCTCTTCATAGTATTTTATTTCCCATAGAGTAAGTGACTCAGAAGAATTTGGAGAATGTTTGTTTAGATTAGCATTTGTGAGCACCTACTAGGCACTGTGTAAGACAAAAAAACATTATTTTCAAGGAGTCGGTGTGGATTCTAGGGGCTATTTTTGCCTACAGTTTCCCATGATTAATGAGTAATAAGTCTTTAAGGTGGCTCGCTACGATTAGTGCGGTATTTTCTCCAAAGGGGTGAGGTGGGGCCTCTTACTTTCAGAGACAATTGCTACCTTCGGTCCCTCGGGCGTGCTTCAGGCTGGACTGTGGGTTGCTGGTGTCTGGTTCCTCCCAGGGAAGTCCACTGCACTCTCTACACCAGAAGCAACCGAAGAGGTGCCATGAGCACAGCTCTGCTTCACACCGGCTGCACACTATCCCTACAAAGTGCTCTCAGATATGCTAATAGGACCTCCGATGTGCTAATCGGATCTCAGATATGCTAATAGGATCTCCAAGAGAATGTGGGGGCATTTCCCTCCTTTCACAGCCGAGAAAACTGGGGGTCTCCCCAGATTCCTACATGAAGTGGGAATGACTCACACTGACATCCGACATCTCAAGACTGACTAGATGTCAGCATACTCAGGTAAGGGTCATTGGCTACTCTGCTACCCGAAGTCCACCGCGTCATCCCTTAAACCCTGTGCCTTGTCTGGTTCAGCTTTGGAGTTCTAGGTCACTTGTTTATCCTGACAACGAACCCAAGTAAAGAAACAGCCCTGAGTGCGGTTGCAGGTGATGCGGTGGATGCCACATAATCTCAGGACGAGCGAACACTCAGCCTTGTCTCCACACCCAGGGTTCTGACTCAGACGGTATGAGCAGAAACCGTCTGTTCTTCTCCACCACTCTCCATCCCCGGCCTGGCCTCACCTCGATGTTCTGTTTCTGCCTACCAAATTTATAACCTTGAAACTTGTGGGCTGTATCAGGGCAGCAATCGAAACTCTAAGCATTTCTAAGCCTGATAAGAAACCCGAGAAACAAGCAAAGCAGTCAAGGTGAGAGTTTGGTATCTTTTCACCCTTGACTTTTTTTTTTGGAGACTTAAGGGTAAAGGAAACAAGCTAAGAAATGTGCACAGCCTATAGTCAGGGCCACCTATCCAAAGACACATTAAATATTAACTTCTTCTTTGAAACTAGCCAAGCCTTGCAAGAGAGTAAATAAATGGGGCCCACAGAGCCCTGGCATCAGAAGCAGTGGGTGTGGAGAGGGCCTGAGCGCCATTCTGGGCTATCTAAATCAGACCTCCTGAACAGAATCAGGTCTCCTCAGCACCCTCTCCCGCGAGCGCACCCTCCTGTCTCCTAGGAACCCAGCCCAGAGTCACAGAGGAATGCTGCTCTTCAGCAAGGCTCTGCTTTCCTGGACTCAGCATGAGCCTTGGCTGGAGAAAACCGGAAGACGGGACAAGAGTGCCAGGGAGACTGAAATTTGTACCATCCCTACGATGTTCCTCTCTCTTTTATCAGTGCTTTGTGGGAGGGGCTTGACAGAAATACTATCTGCACAGAAGGGCCCTGTTAGACATTGCAGGTGACCAGGTGGCCCTTACTGCTGACATTTGCCACCTAGTCTTCAGTCAGTGAGTGAAGTCGGCTGCTTCTATGGGGTAGGGGAAAATAGCATTTAAAGCTCCAGCAATTCAGGACCAGGGCAATGGTTCTTATCCTATAAGTCGAGACCCCTTTGGCAAACCTCTGTCTCCAAAAAATATTTACATTACGACTCATAACGGCAGCAAAAGCACGGTTAGGACAGCAATGAAAATAGTTCTATGGCTGGGAGATCATAGAGGAACTGTACTGAAGGGCTGCAGTGTTAGGGAGGCTGAGACCCTCTGCTCTGGGGCGATGAGCTGATGTCTTCTCAATCCCCTCTGCTCTGCACAAGGCCAGAGGTCAAGTTGGCAGCTGCATGTGGCTCCTGCTCCAGCCATGATGGTGGAGAGCTTATGTGCTCTTCTGACTGGAATCTATAAGCCGCCTCCTCAGGCAGGTGCACCTGCCACACTATTTTGTCAGCTGGGACGCTTGAAGAAGTGCGAAGCAAGACCTCTGTTGGAGCCTGATTCTCCTCTCTAAGGACTGACTCTGCCACATCACCTTGGCCTAAACTCCACTTGGCAATCTGGTTAGGCTTGGTATACTGAGATGAAATAAAATGTGGGTGAGGCCCAGCATGGCCAAAGAACTTTCTGTTTTCCGGGGTCTACGTCTATGAGCAGGTAAAGCCGGAGGTTTGACTAGGCTAGTGAACTTGAGCTGAGTTAGGTTATCTGGGGGCTTCCCAAGGATGAAATGCTAGCCCGAGTTGGAGTTTTCTCAACATTTATTTCCCAACCTCAATTCCCATTGCGAACAGTCTAGCTCAGTTCAAACTTTACATATCCGCACAGAGCGCGCCATTATCTACTAACACACACACTGCGCCCTTTATTTAAATAAAGATAGACTCTGAGCCGCAGGAGAGTTTCCTTTCACAAATGTAATGGAAAACTAAGATGCCTGGCTCACCTGCATGACCCTCCCCGCCATTTTGACTCTCTCTGCTTCAATTATCCACTTAGTCTCCTTCAAAATCACTGCTTGATCTTAGCTGCTCAGAGACGGAAATTTCCAAAATCTAAACAAAGTTGCCCCCCTCCCCCTTGAGACAGGTTTTGCCAGATACGATAAGCTGGCCTTGAACTTGCTGTATAGCCCAGCAGCCTGGCTTCATACTTTCCATCCTCCAGCCTCAGCCTTGTGAGAGCTGTGATTACAGGCGCATACCAGCATGCCTGCCTCTGGTTTCTGTTTGTACAATACACTTATGTAACTTAAATAAGTAAATGGAAGAGATGTTCCCCGGTTCTCCATAAAATACTTCAACTCTGGGGGGAAAAAAAAAAACTCATCTGGCTTAATCTTAGGCTGACTGAGAGACTTGAGCAACAGAGATGGGAACCCGCAGAACGGATGTGAAGGGCCACTTTTGCAGCACCCCAGTACAGCTCTGTAGCCTTCCCTTAAGATCCCTTCCCTTACTTCAGAGTAAGCAAGAACTGGTTAGTGATTGACTCACCTTCTCTCGGTTGGGGTCTGAAGAGAAGAAAGGAATTCTCTTCTATTCCAAAGGGCAGAGATGGAGACGGCTTGCCTCTCCGCCGCCACTCCTACTGTTTTCTTCTTTTGACCTCCTCCTGACTTACCTAGACAGGTAAATGCTTCAGCTGTGCAGCCTGGACACACCCTGCTGCTGACTCTCAGCCAATCCTAGTTTCCCTCCCTACTCCTCATTCCAGCTGTTAAGTCGGGGGGGGGGGGGGCTCGGGAGGGAAGAGAGTAGGGTGGTGCTTCTCTGCCGTAGCCAATCACCTCCTGCTCTCGCCCCGCCCCTTTTTTGGCTTGGAGCCAATAGAGAGCTGAAACAGAGAGGTAGGAAACGGCTGGAGCTGGTTTGAGCCGAGAGTGAAGAGAGAAAAAGGAGAGTTTGGAAGGGTGGAAGTAGGCCAATGGTGCTTGATTTTCCTTCTTGAAAGGAACACAACATTCTGGCTGGGCACAGAGAAGTTTCTACACCCCATAAACCTCTCCACCAGACGCAATAATCCAAATCAGACCAAATCAAACCGAATTAGAAAAAGCCCAGGTTTAATGGTTACAAATGCTCCCGGATGGCTTTCCAGTCCTCCCCCCTCCCCCCACACACCCAGGAGATGGGAAAGGTAGACCTCTCTTCTCTCGGGGATAGTTTAAATACCCTGTGAGAATGGTCTTGAGCATCTCTGGGGAGGGGTTATTGGTTGGCGGGCTTTCTCGGGGGCGGAGTCTGGACTGAGGCAACTCTCAGAGGAAGTGGCTTGGGGTGGAACTTCTACCTGAACATTCCAGACTTTTTGTGTTTATGGATGACAGGGGCTGGGGTGAAGCTTCCGCCCAAACAGGTATCATGTATTTCTATGGGGCTGCAGAGATCCGGCTTTCCTGTTTAGACCCTCCTTCCTCCACCTGAAGCTCAAAGTATCTCCAGGCTAAAATTCTGATGCCTAGTCTTGGAATCAGCTTTTTCTTTCTTCCTTTTTTTGTTTTGTTTTTCGAGACAGGGTTTCTCTGTAACTTTGGAGCCTGTCCTGGAACTAGCTCTTGTAGACCAGGCTGGTCTCAAACTCACAAAGATCTGCCTGCCTCTGCCTCCCGAGTGCTGAGATTAAAGGCGTGCGCCACCACCGCCCGGCCGGAATCAGCTTTTTCTAACTCTCGGTCACAGCCAGTTTCATATTCGAAGAAGGTTCAGGGATATCAAGGTGAGAGATGTCACCCGCTTGCTGATTTGTCGGCCTGGTCGGTTTCTGGGGAAATAAAACCAACTTCTCTCCCTCTAGGTAGTCCCTTTCCAGATTAAAAAATAATGCAGGAGCAAACAGCCAGAAAGTAGAGAACTTGACCTCTGTCATTTGCGTCTCTGGTCCCTTCGGCCGCTTAGAGGTGGCAATGGACAATAAAAACAAGTAAAGTCAGCTCCACGCCAGTCTAGCAAGCACTTCTTTGGCGGGGAAATGTTTGATGTGTATGGGAGAGGAGAGTGAGTGAGAAATCTCCCGCTTCCAGGAAGAAATCTCCCTCCAGGTGGCAGAGGCCACTCAGGCCAGAGGGGACTGACTTCCGCTCTGCAGCTGCCTTATTCCCCTGAATGTAGCTTATCCCTAAAAATGGCCAACTTTAAAGTATTTCACTTGCTGGCAGTAATAGGGCGGAAAGAAAACTTAGAATCAGTACTGCAAGGATTGCTCAGTTCAACCCCTTGCTGTGTGCTGGGTATTAAGTTAAGCGTTTCCATGTCTTCAACTTAAAAGCCTTGGCATTGTTACTATCCACACTTCATAGGGAGGTTAAACTTCCTCCTTTTTATTCAGCCAGCATTTAGTATGTGTAGGGGTGTTCAACTCAGTTAACTTAATCTAGATAAACCTCACAGGTATGCCCAGAGGCATGCTTCCCAGATGATTTTAGAACCTGATTCAACAAGCAAGACCATCACTCTGCAGTAACAATTTGAAGAGACTAGTGAAACACTAATGAAGAGACAGCAAGAAGAGCTGGCATGGCATTTTGGTAGAAAACAGTGGTTTTTAAAAGTCCCTGATTTTGAGAAATTCTTTTTCCTATATGCTGGTACCCAGAGAATTATCATCTTTGCTTTCTTCCAGCAGCGACTCCTCCCAAACCCCCAGATCTATTGGTTTGCAAGGCAAAGCCTTTTCAAATGACTATTCCGGGGCTTGAGAACGTTTCATTTTCTTTTGGTGGGCTCAGTCATGGTCACATAGCTGTCTGCCACTTTCAGCTCTCAGCGTTTGAGACAAGAAGGCACCAGCTGGCAGCTAGGGGAGAGAGGGCCTAGTGCTTTGTGCTCATTGGTGACTGAATTGCTCTGAATTCATCTGGTATTGAAGAGGGGCCTAACCATTCATTTCCTATAAAGTCAAACTGACAATCAATCAGCCATCACAGTTGCCAGGCACCAGTATGATTCCAATCTGCCTGTACTTTGGGAAAAGATTCCCCAGTGAGAAGCATTAGGTGCAAGGATAATTTGCATACTCAATTCTAACAATTTGCTTCATTTTCTATTTCATTTCTGGCTTGCAGATGTTTCTGTTTTCTAGGATGACACATGGTTTCTCTTTTCTCTGTTATCATAAGTGGGAAGGAAGTATCCCGGAGCCATGAAGAGAAATAATGTGAAAAAAATCTGAGAACACTTGGGACAAGCCAGGACCCTGTTGGCATCATATGGATCAGAGATGACTGAGGTCTTCAGGGCTGTGACTTCTGTTTCTAATTCATCATCAAACATATATGATGTCGTAATACTGAGAAAACAGGAAGGGATCTCCACATCCATTCACTGCAACTGGAACTCCATCCATGGCTGGGGTTGCCAGATTTGATCCAGATTTATATAGGTGAATGATTTATACATTTGCTTAAAATAGAAGCAAAAATTCAATGAATCTCCCAAAAGACCACAACCAGGCAATTATTCAACTTACAATAAACTTAGAATGATCAGAGGGTCCCCTATCTTTTCCCAGGTGACTTTTAAATAAAATAAAATAATACTTTTATTTTCTCTTTCATCCTAGACATTTGTATTGGGAAATAAATGTTTCAGGCACCTGGGCACAGCACCCTGCTGTCTACCACATTGTAGCTGGAATTACGTCTAAGTCTTGGCTCATCTCCCCAGTCCTCAAAGTACACATATGTCATGGTTGAAATAAACTACTATCCTAACTGTTGTTTCTTGCTCTCCATTTCCTTACTTGTTTTCCCTGGAACTGAGCATGGTTTTCCTTTGGTTTACTCTGTTTGGAAAAATATGAACCTGGAAGGTTCAGAGTGAATTAAGAAGGTGGCTTGGAGGACAGACAAGGGAAGACTCTCCAGTCAACACAACGCGAAATGAAGCTCAGTGGTTGCTGTAGGTCATTTGTGGAGAGATGCTGATGAGAGTAGTGATGAATTCTTGTTTGATGCTCTGAATCTGACATCCAATTACAGATCAGCTTCCAGGACTCTACGTCCATGGTCCTCGTCCCTGCGGGTACAGAGTTGTGGCATAATGATCTCCTTTAAGACTGCTTTTACGTTTCCTTCCTCAGTCAGCCTGTCTCTGTGGGTGAGGCAGTCACTTAAGTGACCCAAGTATGGGTAGGTGTGTGCACACGCACTCACTTTAAATCAAAATCAGTAAAGCTGGCTCCTTGGGATTCCTTACAAAGTCAGATTGCAAAGCAGCTGTGGCCTCCATCCAAACTCCTCATACTCGATGCACATCACCCTGGTCAGTGTCCTTCTTCCTTTTGTCTTAAAGAAAAGCTGTTTTCTTCACTCTCAGGACACACTTGGTGTCCTGTCTCCTCATGGTGCTATGTGTTGGGGCTCTCAGTGTGCCCTCTAACATTACTGACAGGAAGGAAAATATCAGTTCAAGTAGAGGCTGAGGAATGAACAGCCAATTTTAAATAAGGAATAACTAGGAATGAGTTCAAAAGAGAGTATAATTTGGCTATAAATTCTAGAATAGGCCATAGCTAATAAACCACCAAGCTTTCATCAAAGTATGAGTCTTATTAAACCTAATATAAAAGGAAACTAAGTCATATATACAAAGTAGACTTTAGTTCCTGACACTACTTAATTTCTAAGTAGATTCCAGAAGTAGTTCTTTTCTATTTGTGGAAGTTCTACTATGGAAGTCTGGAGTTAATGTTTACCGATTGTATATGGATATCTTCTTCCTACTAAGAAAGAAGACGGCTTCATATTTTTTTTACACAGTACTCTTTGTTCCTATCACATCTATGCCTGCATTCTCACCCCATATTCTCTCTCTCCTCTCTCTCTTGCACACACACACACACACACACACACACACACACACACACACAGAGAGTTTCCTATTATTGCACACACATTGACAGCTGAGCTATGAGATATATGGTCACTCACCTTTCCTATGTGCCTGTCTCTACACCCTTCACCCGTTATGTAAATTCCTTCTCAGTATACTCACATTGCTTTCTATCAATCTCATCCTGAAGAGAAATCTCCTTCAGGCTTCACATCTGTATCAGTTTGGGGAAGACTGTTCTGTAAGCTGGTCAGTGGCTGTCATTTTGTTATCTTCATCAATAACTGGAAGAAAGCCCTTTTCCCTTGAGTTATCTGGAGTGCGGACTTTCTTCCTTCTTAGCGCTCCCTTTGGCACAGCAGTTTCTATTAGTTTCTTAAGGACAAATGCTTAAAATCCTGTATGTCTGAAATGACTTTATCTCTACTTGATTGGGTGGCTGCCTACACAGTGTTGTCTGCTAGCTTCCAGTATTGTTTTTGAAAAGCCCCCGAAGTATTTGACTCTAAATTTTAGGCCCTTCTCCATTTCTAGTGCTTAGAAATGATAATGAGATGTTTTTAAGAGTCAAAGACTTTATTTGAAGCTCAGTTCTAGCCATATCAAAAGCTCTTGGACTTCCCAGTAGGAGCTAATAAAATGCCTTTGAGACAAAGTTCTGATGATTCACTGGAACACCTTCATGCCCTTTTAGTCATTCTATGACAAACATCAAGGCCAGTGTCTCTTTCCTTAGACCCTGATTTCATTTATATAAATATATATATATATATAGTCTGTTACGTGCCCAGTATTTTACTAGAAGACAGAAGTTGGTCTGTTCACATGGAGCAATCTAAAGACAAATGCACATGCACACACCTGTATGGCCACAAGTGCCTGGAATAAGGGCTTAAGACCGTGAAAGACAGCACAAATCTGGGTCCTTGCCCACGTCTAAAAGCACCTATTTTCCTCTCCCCTCAGTTGTACTATGGGCAGGAATTAGGGAAATACTTGGGTCCCTCTCACAGTACTGAGTTTACAGATGCTGCCACTTGCCAGTTCGATGCTCCTCCTACTTTTTAAAGGACTAATTACGACATAGAGTTTAGCTTTCATCCTTAATACTACGTTTTCTAAAAGGCTCTCCCAGACTCACCGATTTTAATTTGCTCTTCCCATCCCATTATTTTCTTCATGGAACCCACGTTCTAATTTCCTAACAGCACTGTGTCTATTTTTCTTTCCGGTGCATCTAGTATCCAGGGAAGTTTCTGACACAATAGTGCCATTCAAGAGTGCACACTGAATGAATCTGCATTTTTGCTTATTTTTGGTAATCCTGAGAAATGTGACATTGAGCCCCACAAGTAGAATTACCTGAAATAACTTCGCTTCTCTTAGACAAAAATCATCTCAGTTTTCATCTTTATAGTAAGAAAGACAAAACTGGAGATAGGCACGATAGTGCATGCCTATCCTTGGCACTCCTTTAGGAAATGTAAGGACAAACTCAATGAGGTTCTCAGGTGCGAGCCCGCAAACACACAAAACCACAAATGGGATGTTTTGCTATTAGATGAACCTAGAGGAAGGGCCCTTATGCAAAAGGTCCTAATTCAGTCTGTCTCACACTCTGGAGGTTTAAGAACCTGACTAGTGTCTCCTGTAGTGGTCATGCTGTGGGAGAAGGAATTCATGAAGACCATAGCAAACACTGATTTCCTAGCCCCAAGAGGAAGCAGTTTCGCTCATAAAAGGACCGTGGAATTCTAGTATCCGAATTTGTCTACAATTTGGATGACGATTTCAATACAATAGCCACAAGGATGAATGTGAGCTGTGATAGGTATGTTCATGTTACTTGCTAAGCACTTTTCCTTCTGGACAACTCTGCATCCCAAATGGACAAATTGTACCTTTCTCCTTCTCCTCCTCTACCTGCCATTTCCAAGTTATAACCCATCCCCAGCTTAAGTTTCATGGTGGTGGTCTGTCGATAACCATAAGGGAATGTTACAGGCAACCATTTCTAGAAATTTGGAACCAAGTAATCCAGATGAGCCTTCTGCTACATTCAGCAATGAAGTACCAGAAAGGCAATAAAGAATTTGGTAGATTACTAGGCCTGGTACAGGGAAAAGGTAGGTATGGTGTGATATGACTAATACTTGGGGCCAGGTTTCTTCTGGAGATATGTCTATTCCAGACTGGGCAGCTGCCGTGCTGAAAGGTTGAATGGTACTTGTGGAAGCTGAACAGAACAAGGGGAACAAGGACTATATACCCAGTGTAGGTTAAACTCCCGTATGCTACACCCCGAACTGACCAGGACCTGTTTGACCTATAGGGTTATTGTCACATTTAGTTACTCTGTAACCTGGCACTTGGTGCCATTGCAAGAGAGACAGACATCCAGATCAGAACAAAATTTCCAAACAAAGTGTGTTTGTGAACCTTCTGTTTTGATTGCCTTATTTCAGGTTTGGAGATGTATCCCTTCGGAAAGTATGCATCTGCCACAAAAGGATGTCCTGCTCTGCACCTCTACCACAGCCAAGACACTCTTACCCCAGCTTCATCGGGATAAGGGGAAGAAAAACCCTGATTTGCATGTGTATAATATTGTAATACCATTTGAAACGAGGAAGAGGTTCTTTTGTAATTATTTTATAGCAAATATTAAAATATTTTTCAAGATGGTACAGACCGACTTCTAGTATCATTTCCATAATGCACAAATCTTCACAGTATTTGAGTCTTTAAAAAAATATTAAGGCATCCATTTCTTTCCATTGTTGGTTTGTGTGCTGTGTGTATTTGTGGACTCAGATCAAGTTAGAAAACCTAAGCTCTGGCCAACCCTAACAACTCCAGGGTTTCTAGTATTTAATTGCTGACACTTAAAATTATAGAGAAGTCATCATTTTCAAATAGGTGGAAGCCCATCCAGATCATATTCTAGCATAAAACGGGCACGCTCAACCTTTCCATTCAAAGAACCCATCAGCAAAGGGTTTAAACTGTATAAATACAGTCAGTGAAGAGAAATTTTGAGTGACTTTCCGGCATGAGAAAGAGAAACCCTTAACTACTCAACGGGCGTGGGAATCAGGTATACAAATCCAAGCTGTGGGTCTGAGTTGGTAATATGCAACTTGAGTGTAGTATTCTTTGCTGGCCCTTTGCCCCAACCCCAAAACACGCTCACACAACAATGTTTTTACTTAATTTATTCCTTTAAAACAAGTCACTTCAGACATTTAGATATTGAAAAGTCACATGTCATAAATAAAATGAATGCATCTTAATAACAAAGGCAAAATCATGAGTTGTATAAAATGAAGTTAGACATCTTCCAGGCAGCAGCAATGCACGAACTTTGAAAACTTGCTGGCAGACAAGGGAACATTTTGAAAGCAATACTGTCCATCTTCACTAAGAACACATTTTCTTATGCCAAGAAAACAACTCCTGGTTGTTTGGCCCCTTTGCAATTATGTTCTAGAGCTCTGTATTTCAGGCTTTAAGATTATTTTCTTATTTAAGGAGCTCTGCCTCTTCTGTGTTAATACAGGCACTACTGACTATTTTTCATTCCTTATCATTTTAACATGCTATATGTACTTTTAGGCATTCTTAAAGGAAAAATGAATTTGGTATAAATCTATTTTTTGTGACACCTTTGAGTCCTGAATGGCACAAAATGTGAAATGGAAACCCTTGGCCTTTAAATGACTTGGGATTACACTCAACTAAACATTCTATACCAGTTCTGGTGGCAAGCCACATCATCTTAGTAGAAATTCTCAACCTCTTGACCTATAACTTAACCAAATAATACCTTCACTATACTTAAATTCCTACATACAGGCTAATGTGTTTAAAAACAAAAGTAAAAAGAGTGCCATGCAAAATGCTTACTTACATTCCATTACCTTATACATTTCCTTTTTAGTAGTACTTTTTTCTCTTAAGACATAATCCATAATTTAGTATCAACATAATACTTTGTTTTCCTAATGAAATATTCAAAGCACTATAAACAAAATGCTAATTTTTGACAAAAATCTTTTATTACAATCAAGGACATCTTCCATTCACTGAGTTGGATGTGCTGACATATTACAGTGGTTAATAAGAATACACCCTGGGGCCAGGGATGCTGATCAGCGAGCATTTACTTACCCTAGCAAGCACACAGCCCTGGTTTGATGCCTATCTGTAGGAGAAACAAACTAGCTTATTCAAATCAAGTGTTCCTTAAAATTACTGCTTGCATATCCTACTCAAAAAACAATCTCCCTAAAATATACTTACTTTAAAATGAGCTATTTGATGAATCTACAAAAGGTTTGATGAATTTCAAACCTCTGTGCTGTAAACAAATTTTGAATAGTGTAAAACAAGTGATAGCAATCTCATTAGAGAAGTAGCATTTCTTATGTGAGGGCACAGACCATGCTCCTAACAGTGACTGAAATTACACTTTCTCATAAGATACAGCAAATACTGATGGTAATAACTGATGAAGAGCTGATGGCTGGCAGCTCAAGGTTGATCTTTCCTGTCCTCGGGATCTCTAGAAGGCTACGTAAACTCCTATTCTCTAATTTAAAGTGCTGCAAAAAAAATTTCAACACATGAAAAATGTAATTCTTAGTATATGTAAATTTAAGAAGGCCACCTGATTTTTAATATATAACATGTTATATAATTTGTGTCTATGGATCACTGTTACTTAATTTCACATATATCCTACTGTATATTTTCCAAAAGGACAGAAAATTCAGCTAGGGCAGCTTGAAGGGAGGAAGCTAGACAGACAAGCAAGTTGGACATGAGCAGTGAGGGGAATATATAGGTAGTAAGTAATGCAACTTTTGGATTCTTGTTTTCTGGGACTGGAACTCGACAGAATATTCAAATGGCATAATGGTATTAGTTTCTAAAAACAGGGTTAGCAACCTAACCAATGCCAGTAGCCATTTCATTATGCCCACTTCTCATTCATGGAGAACAATTAAGAAATCAGCCATGAATCACTAGCAATAGATGTGGTAAACACCCGATGTCTTCATATGGCTGCCATATCATAAAATTTCCAGGGACATTAATTCAGGTCAATACCACGACTAGGGAGAGTATCTTCATAAAAACACACTGAATCTTTAATCCAAAGAAGAGTGTGGGAAGGATGGGGTAGAAGGGGCAAGAGTATAATTTTTATTCCATCACTAGTATTCTACCACATTAATATAAGTTGTGTCATTTTAATTAAAAAAGAAATTCTTGCAGGACAGACAACAACCCAACAAACAAGAGGGTTTCAGTAGGACAAAGTTTCTTTTAGTTATGGTGCAACTAAATTCACAGATTCTTCAAAATTCTCAAAATGAGTTTACTCACATTAATAAATATTTCAAGAGCTTAATAAGCACAAGAAAAAATACAAAACAACAACAAACCCTTTATATTGAGACTTACTAGGCTGTATTTAGAATGAACATAAATAATTAAATAATTTGCATATAATGCTTCACTTTGAATGTTCTACAACCAGAACACTACTCTAATACCAGTTCTCATGTCAAATAATTAAAACACCTTTTTGAAAGCCATATAACTATCAGTGCCTACCTGGCAACTGGACAAACCAGGCAAAAGATTAAATAGGATAAGAAATTGTCCCTAAATAAATACTAAATAAGATGTATAAAAGACACTTAGAATGAAGGGTTTGATTTTAAGACACCAGTGCTCATTCTATTTCTTTACATTTACTAAACTAATCCTCTGTAGATGACATAGACTCAAATTTAAAGTGACAGGAACTTATTTTCAAAAAATTGAACATGCCTGACACATTATAAGTTATTCAATAAATACTTGTTGCATGAACAAAGGTCTGGATCCAAAATTTTAGAAACATTAAATTTGGATGCTCAAGTGGTACAGGAAGGCAAACTTTTTAAATACGAAGCAAAAAAACTCGATTTGATGGATATTACCCAGTGCTATATTTTTAATGTACAGTTTTAAATTAAATATCTTATTAAATTAAATTAAATACCACGAATGCCAAATGTTCAGTGTTCTAAGCTCATTGGTGCTATCTTTAAGGCTCAGTGAAAAAAAAAACCAAAATTAAATATTTTCAATTTATATAGTAACTGTCATTGCCTGACTGGCTATGTGCACAAAGGGTATTCAAGAAAAGTCATCTTGCCAGGTGTGGTGGTCCCTGCTTGTAATCTCTGGAGGCTGAGGCAGAAGGATTACTTCAAGTTTGAGGAGCCTGGACAATATAGCAAATTCCAGGCCAGCTAGAAACACATGGGGAGACGCTGTCTCAAATCAAGAAGGACTGTCACCTGATAACTGAAGCGTACTTTGTGACTTGTTCAATTGTTCCTTAAAGGGACTTTCTCTAAAGTGTTGACTTTAACATTCCTTAATTTTACATTAAGTTACCATTACCAAGTAAATGGCTAAGGGTTGACCTTAATTTAAAAACATTTGCTAAGATACACGAGAAAAGATGTGTCTAAAGTACACCAATGTTTGTCTGAGCTACTTAATAAATATGGGATGGAAATAAGAAAACTTCACAACAGTATGCCTCTTTACACTGTATGACAGAATGCACAACACACTGTAACGTAAAGATCCCTGATCTTCTCAAGAATTAAGAGGTAGAAGATTTTACCTGGAAGATTCTATAGAGAAGCTAAGTTTTGAGTGGGTGTGCCTTGAGGATCAATCCATCAAGCAAATGGCTACATATCTGATCTAGGTAGCAGGATTCTCAGAGAGCTGTATAAGGCAAGGATTTTACAACTTTTCATATTTTGGAAGCGAAACAAACCCAATCAGTTATTTAAAAACTGAAAGTCAAAGATCACAGGTAAAGTACTAACTTGCAGAAATGTGGAATGTCGAAAAGAACAAAGTGGAGCTAGAACACTGCTATCTATGAAAAAGATTGTTACGAAGTTATCAAAGCCTGCACAGCATTAACGCTTTAGAGGAAGACCTGTTTGGAGGAAGGGCTTTGAGCAGAAAGTCTGAGGAAATGAAATCCCTCCAGACAAACTGATATGTAACACAGCAAAAGAAAACAAAAACCAAAAAGCCATCACTCAAATTTCAAGATACTTCTTGAATTTTAAATTAAATTAGCAATTAAAAAAGCATACCCTGCTCATTTAAAAGAAAAAATTATCTAATGTGACAAACAGCAACACATGAATTGCATTAAAACAAGAGGCCAGCAGTCTTTTAAAGCTTCAGTAAGCTGCTTCAGGCACCTTTCCCTCTTATACATTCTACTTTTATATGCCAGAAATCTCAAACAGGACCCCATTCCTGTTTTAGACAACATTCTCAAGAAACACACACATCCCTGTAAAATTGCTTTTTATGCACTCAGAAGTTGTTAGATACACTTATAAAGTCTACCAAATTGCAATATAAAAAGTTTTGACAATTCTGAGCATCTTCATTTGATGAATCAATTCAGAATTTAGAAACTACCAACTCATTCCAAGTTATTAAAAGGAACCGATTACTGGAGACACTGTGGTGCATGTCCAGTGACCCTCCGCAAGGCTTTCACATTACCTACAATAAGATGTTTTCTTCTGGAAGTTAAAGCCGCTGGGTGCTGGTTTATAATAGACTCCAGTCTTCAGGTGGCCCAAGCCACCTATTCCATCACCCTAGTAGAAAGAGGGCATGCCACTAGCGTAGCCACACATCTGTAAACTTGCACACTAATTTTAATCTTAACAAGGAATTTCAGCATCAGCCTTACTGGTTTAAGTCAAAAGGATGGTCCAAGCATGTGTTCTTCTATTCTGTAGGGTTATGAATAGCTTATTGGAGAACCCAGAACCTTCTGGATCTGTGAGGTAGTAGGCTCCAACTCTTACCATGAACAGATCACACCTCTCCAAAGTTGGTGTGGCCTGTCTCCCTGGCATGGTCCCTTGCTTCCGCTTGTCCAGTCAACCCCTTCTGACATACCATGCATCTCAGGGTGAAGCGGTTTACATCAGTAAACTGTCTCTTTCTTCTAGCTTCATCAGCTAATTCCAGTGCTTGGACAAGAACAATATCATCATTTGAGGAGAAAATGGTTAGAGGAGGAGTGTCTGGATCAGGGAAGTTACGCTGAAGTGGATCATAGTGGATGCCATCGTAGATGAGCAGAACCCTTTTGGTATAGCCCGCATCTTCCCCAAAGCGGTCAATTCTGACTGTCTGTGTATCTACTACACATATTTCACATTGGTAGAACTTAGACAGAATGGATATCTCAATCGCGCCCCCCCAAGTGTCATCCCTTTTGATCCATTCACAATACTCTTCGTTTGTCTTTCCCAGGATTGCCTCGCTATACAAGTCTGGATTACTGGCTACAATTTGTGCTATGAGGCGTCTCATGTCAGGGGCACAACCTGGATTCAAGACTCCTCCTTCAACGACATAGTACACACTGGTAAAGAGGCAAGAGTTGTCTGCCGGGACTGCGGTTCTGGTAAGTACAGGCAAAGCTTCCCTGCCATAGCTAGGAGCACCACGTTTTGACAATGTAGGTGAAGCTTTGGGTCTGGTTTGGTCTTCTTCAACAATCAGCATGTCACCTGTGAAAAAATAAAGCAGACCCAGAAGTGCAGAGGAATTACAGATGGGGTGTTTATTAGCCAACCTGGCAAATTATGAGCCAAGTGAGTTAAAGCATAAAGTGGGTTACCAAGGAGAACCCGACTCTGTAAACAAGAGACTAGTAACACTTAAGTTTTGTTTGTTGTTTAGTCCACGTGTCTTTGGAAAGGAAAACGGAGCAAAATGCTTCAAGCTGCATCTCAACTTAGTGACAAAAACTCTTATGTATAAAGATAAGCTGAAAAACAAAATCTCCTGTATTCTGCATTTAAAAACCACGCATTTTTCGGATGTTCACCATAGACTCGGTAGGTGACTCGGGTGTTCTCCTGGCACTTGGCATGACTAAACCAACTGATGTTTAGAGGGCCCTTGACACAGACTGGAAAAGCTCTTGATCAACACTGATGTTCAAGTTTTAATTCTGGGAACGAAACTCTACAGCTAATACAGTCCGAGAAAAGTTGTACACGAAACAAACTATAAAAACAAATTAACAAAAGGGAAAAACAATAAGACAAAATCGGTATCTCAACTGCTGGCCTGCTGATCAGGACCAGGGGGTAAAAATTCAAAACAAAACAAAAAACAAAAACATCGTACCACCGGAAAAGGGTCCTGCTGTCCTTTGGAACAACAGAGAAAACAAAATGAATGAGATGGTCCCGAGGCTGACCTGGAAGCAGGCTTGGGGAACCGGAAACTTCAAGGCTCTGGGCTTTTCTCCCAACCACCGGAAAGGACTTGACACTTGTCTCTGCCTTGCCGGAGCTCCGGTCCTCGAAGCCCCTAGCTGGCCCACCGGCACCTTGCCTTACTGGCTTCACTCCCCTCAACGTCCTCCAGGACTTCCCCGGCCCCAGCCGGTGCCCGTACCTGACTGGACGGGCAGGTCCCCAAGAGTGATGTCCCGGTCGCTGAGATCCAGGCACTCGGGCGGGTAGCCGACGAGGATTCGCTGACTACCCGGAGAGATGCCGGTGATAGCGGCGATTTGGCCCTGAAGTTCCCGTAAGCGGGTCCGGCTGGACAGCCCCTGCAAAACGTGGGTGCCACCCTTGGCCTTGCAGCGGAGCCGCCACATCGTGTCGGCCGGCCGGCCACCAGCGGGGCCGGCTTTGGTCCCAGCCGGAGCCTGGGAGACGCCGCCGGAGCAACCAGCGGGGGGGACCCCAAAATGGCCGCCTTTCGCGCCGCCAAACATCGCGAGAAGTAGCCGCGGTGGCGCTTCTCGCGACACCTCGGTAAGGGACCGGCTTCGGCTCTTCCCGGAGCACGGGCTCTTAAAGTGGCAAGGGCGGCTGGAACTGGAGGCTGGAAGTAGGCCAGCTTTCCCGGGCGCTGCGGTGTGGTGCCCTTGGCGTCCGCCAGCCTTTATGCTCCGGGGAGGAGGGCGGGGAAGGAGTTCCCGAGTCTAGCCCAGCAGAGTGTCACCTTGCAGGGAGGTCGGAAATGATGAAAGCAGCCCTTCAAACACCAGGAAAAGCCGACTCACGGCTGAGAAGGTAAACACATGCCAAGGAAGGTCACAGGACCTGCCAAGCAGTCAGGGACTGCTGACGAGCCTCGTGGCCGCACCGAACTGATTCATCGAGGCTAAGAGGACTGGACGACCGGACTTCCTCGGTGAGACGAACTTGAAAGCGTCCATCTGCCACCTCAGAAAGACTGTCTGAGGTCAGCAGCTGTGCCTAAGGCGATTGCCTCACTCAGGTGGTGGCAGTGTCAAAGAGGACGAACTGCTGTCACCCGGATTCCAGTCCGATTCCTGGGAGCCCGACAGGAAGTCCTCATTGTGGCTGAGAGGCAGAAGACGGGGAAGAAGACACACTAGACACTCCAGGCACACTAGCCATTGTCCAGCTTTGTATGCCGAGAGGCCGAGACTGAACACTTAAAAAAAAAGTGCAGTAAACGCCAAATAATGACAGAGTTTATAGCATGCTCTAACACGCTGGGGTTGTAAAAACGCATACTCGGGCCGCCTGGAAGATGACCTGATACCCAGGTAAAGAAGAAACGAGTAGAAGCACCTTCGTTCGTTCAGTTTTCAGCCTTTAGCTAAAGCAGTATCCACCCCGCCCCGCTCCCACACGGGACTGTCATGGAATCAAGCACCAACGGTGTGCTGGGGGTAACTTTGAAAAGTAGTTCTGGAACGTGGAAAACCCACTGAAAGCCTCCCCCTATGACTCAATTACAGCCAGTCTTTTCCTCCCCACCCCGACACTAGAATCAGGTGCACTTTTCCTCCTTGGTTCTTCAATAAGACCATAGGTAATTAGTCTGGGTCGGGGTAGTGGGAGGAAATAAGGAACGTGATTTGGAGTCACCTAGGTCCAGGAACGTTCCCGGTTCCAAGCATACGTGGCTTAGGTTCCAGGATCTGATCATAAGTTGTATTTAGCTCTTGCACCCTAGTAGCCAGCAAGGCATATTTAAAAGCAAATGTCCACCTCCCCGGTCTTGGGAACCACCAAGTCTAGCTGGGTTTCAGGAGTGAAGGCGTTAATCTTCGTTTTCACCAGTTACCCCCCACTCAAGATGTCAGTCAAATAGGTCTCGCGAGAATAAGAAAAAAAGGTAAGGCTTTTTGTTAACCCTGCCTGCTCAATCTGTTCCCAAGCAACGATGCCACCAAGCTCAACTGAGTAGGCTGGTCTGGAAACTGGCAGCCTTAGGCGATTACAGGTCCTCCAGGAGCTAGGTCGGCTTCTCCAGCAGCCCGCCTCCTGCCCTGCAGATGCTTCATTGGTCCATCCTGCCTCCAGGTGAGGGCTGACGCGCGGGTGGGCGGAGCCAAACGGAGCACGTGATTTGCCCCCACCCCGGGAGCCCGGACTAGAGTCAGTCTGCCAGGTTGGTTCGCGGCGCTCCAGTGGCGACACCGGGTCTACAGCCGGGAGGGCGAATAGGGCAGGTCGAATAGGGTGAGCGATAGTTGAGCAGTCTGGACTCGAGGATGGGGTGCTGCGCGGGCGCGGCTAAGCTGCAGAGCGGTGGTGCTCAGCCCATTCGGGAAGTGTAGCTCCCCCGGCACTCCTGCGCGTGCAGATCTTCAGGGACGCTGAGCCCCAGCTGGTGTGAGCACTGAAGAATCTGTACTGTCAGGCGAGGAGCAGTGCAAGGGTTTTATTTTATTTATTTTTTGGCTTTGTTTTTTAATAGTACCTTTTGTCTTGAGTGAGCGAGCTCCTCGGTATCTATCTGGGTTTGATACCTGAGCCCCGGTCCTTCCCTCCTTAGTTGATATTAGGACCCAAGACTTATTGTGCAGGTAAGTCATTTTCTTCCGCCTATCCCAGGGGGTGAATAGGAGAGGGTAGGGAGGAGGACTTGAGAACGGAGAACACCGGAGGAGAACTGAACCTGCTAGGGAAACCCCAGTCCCCTTACAGTCCATCCTCCAGGGAACACGTTTCTGCCCCTGCCCTTCTATTCTCACCACTCTTCCCATTCTCATTTCTTTTCTCTCTGCAAGATTGAGTTTTACTTTTGGCTCGAGAGTGCTTTCCTGACAATGCCCTTATTCCCGCCCCCACATCACTTCTGGTTCCCTGTACTCTCCATAGCCTTAAAACTAGAATGTGAGGTCAAGGAAATTGGAGAACTTTAGTTGGTTATCTTTGATTTGTCTATAAAACAAAATGGAGCAATCATGATAGGAAAATCTTCTGTTTAAAAGATTGTTGGAAGACTTGCGGGATCTGAGATATAAGTGTGAACAAGGTCAGCAAGCAAATACAAAGTTGGAGTGCGGCTTTGTAGGCGAGCAGTCGGGTGTGTGTGTGACTTATCCGAGAACAAGTATCTGAGTTGGGAGGAAGAGGCTGGACCTGAATCTCCATAAGGGCTCCTTGCTTGTAGCACACTAATCTCTGTATTATTTTTAGGGACGCTTTCCTTGTATTTTCTTCTCTCTCTTTCCCCAGGTGCCTCCTGAAGAACTACCATGTCTGGGAATAGTTCATCTTCCACAGAACACAGGAGCAGCAGCAGCAGAAGCAGCAGCAGTAGCTGTAAATCTCACACCTCAAACCTTCGGAAGGCGGGGAAGAAATGCTGTGAGTTCTGGAAGACAGCCCCCTCGTAGGATTTTTTTTTTTCTTTTTGTCCTGGAATTGTATTTGTATTCTAGATGCTCTCACACTGTGGGAGCGAATAGTAATTCTTTGGCATGACAACTTACATTTATTTATTTTGTGACAGGGTCTTACTACAGAGCCCTGGCTTGCTGGGTACTCACTGTGTAACTCAGGTTGCCCGGTGACTCATGCAAGTCTTCTTTTTTAACCTCTTGAGTATGGATGTGTGCTACTGTGTCTGACATATGTTGGAGGGAGCCACTCATTGGTTCTTGGCTGCTCAGCTTCAAAATAATCACAGAGAAACTCTGTTTAAATCACTGCTTGGCCCATTAGCTTTAGCTTCTTATTGGCTAACCCTTACATCTTAATTTAACCTATTTCTAGTAATCTGTGTATTGCCATGAGGCTGTGGCTTACGGGGAAAAGTTCCGGCATCTATCTCCAGCAGGTCTACATGGCTTCTCTCTCACTCTGCCTCTGTTCTCCCAATATTCAGTTTAGTCCCCCCCCCCCCCCCCCCAACAGGCCAAGGCAGATTCTTTATTCACCGATGGTATTCACAGCATACAGAGAAGAATCCCACATCAGACATAGGATTTAAAACAAAGTCTACAGTGGGCCATTTCCTGCCCCAAACAAGTAGGCTTAGTGAGTTGTGTCTTTGGAGTTTGACTGCTTGTGTGGTCCAGAGTTTCTTACTGCTTTCATTAGATATGGGAGCACCTGCCTGATGTTGGAAGCTTAGAACACGTAGGATGGCCGAGTGACAAGGTACAGGACTAACATAGGATGGCCGAGTGACAAGGTACAGGACTAACATGGCCTGTCAGTCTCTCAGTTTCCCTTTATCTCCTGGACTGTGTTCTAGATCCCGGACACTCTGTTGCGGGCAGAAGCCAGGCAGGGTGGTACACACCCCTAGTCTAGCCCTGGTGATATAAAGGCGGGGTCAGAAGTTCAAGGTTGTACTCAGCTAAGTACTTTGCTCAGAGTAAGACCTCGTCTCAGAAAACAAGCAAACACGTTGCAGGTGTAAACCCTTACAGGTCCTGTTACTTAGAGCCTGAGGGGAATGAGCCCTGACACTATCAGTGTCTCGGGTGCCTTACATTCTTACAGGGTTAGCCTTGCATTTTGCAGATTCTTTCCCCTAAGTGCAGAGATGGCGGAAATGGTGGCAGGGAATGAAGAATCTTTTCTCGTTCCCCTGACTTTACATTCCTAAGCAAGGTTCTAGAGTTCCCTAAAAGACTGGGGCATTGGTCCTCAGATATTTCTGGAACCCTCACATGTGTTTTAGCACTCTTGGTCTTCGTTATGGAATACACCTTCTTTTGGAACCCTTCTGGTCAGTTCTCGCTTTAGGAAGAAGTGCTTTGGCTATGGCAGGTGGAAGGAGGTGGGGTCAGCGTGAGACCAGGCACTCTACCCCAGAGGCTCCGTCATGGTGTCCTGCTCTTGTTTGTTCTGTGCTCTTTTCTCTGCCATCCATGAGATGTGGCCTGGGTAGATGCAGTCATAGTACTGAGTTTGGCATACCTCTGTGGATAGGGTCTCCCTTCTTTGCCAGGGCAGGAAGCCAGTCCCGAGGGCAAACTGTGAGTAAACTAGGCAGCAAGGTGCTTACTTGTAGCCCCTTCAGTCACACTGCTTGGGTTTGAATAGTGGTTTTACTGTTTCGTAGCTGTGCTCCTGTGAGCAATTTGTTTAATGTTCCTCTCCCTCAGTTAGCCGCCCCCCCCCCCCCCCCCCCCCCCCCCCTNCCCCCCCCCCCCCCCCCCGCTTTGGCCTTCTGTCCCCTTTGGCCCCCTTCTCTCCTTTCCTCTTTTCTTCCTTCGACAGGTCCCACTATGTAGCCCAGATCAGTGTTAAACATGTGATTTGCTTCCCTTAGTTCCAGAGTGCTAGGGTTAAAGGTGTCCACCGCCACTCTTAACCTAGTTTACTCTGTTATAAAGTGGAAATACTGAAATGGTTCTCCCGGGAGTGAGGTGAGAATTAGATAGGTCCATACAGACCAGCACTCAGATGAGCGCCGGAAGTAGCTGTGTGTCATTTTTCACAAGTGACTCTACCTTTTCTGTTTACTCTTGAAACATATAAGTAGAATTAGACTCATTATATTCATCATTTAAGAGCCTGGTAAAGAAGTGTTTTTCAGTGAAGAATGTTTCCTATTGTGTGGCAGTATTTTTACTCACATGTTCTGACCCAGTGTGGCTCTCTTAAAGGGAATGTACCCCTGTTCCTAGAGTATGTAATCCCAAAGACAGTGGAGAGGGATGGGGGTGCCATCAGAGCCAGCTGGCTCACATTTCTGCCTTGCTGTCCAGCTAGCTGCTCCTGCGTCCCTAACCCCTCCATCACTCTTCTACCTGGTGCTTCTGATTACGAAGCCAATTCTAGGTCTTCTTTATCTTCTCTAGACTCCTCCCTGCTCCTGGCCCTAGCTGTTCTTTTCTAATCTCTGCTCTTTTAAAACTGCTCTTTCTCCCCAGCTCAAGGACTCTGAGTTGTCATTTAGTACCCTGCCTTTCTTATCTCATGGTTGGACTGTGAGATTGCGAGATCCTTGGGAGAATATTAGTTTATTTTCTCTGCCCTGCAAAGACTCAGCAGTTTGAACGTCTTATTCTGGTCCATCCTCCTAATGAGAGTAGATAAGTCGGCTCCTGTTCTGTTCTGTTACTGTGTTCTTTTTCTAAACTTCACTGAGCAGTAGGTATCATTCCTAAGTTGACAGACCTGGACTCACCATTCCGCATGATGTGGAGAAGGTAGGTTGTTATAGACTCCCCGGCTGCCTCGTGCCGCTTTATTTATAGCTCGGCTGCTGTCTCTTTGCTGCTCGTTAAACCTGCTTGCTAATTTTGAGTCTGGGGAGTGACTGGGCTTCGCTTCAAGGCCAGAGAATGACTATAAGGAGCCAAGACCTCCAAGGAGTTGTTCCTGGGATGGGGTTGTAGGTGTGCTAGCTGGGGTCCTTTTAAGGTACCTAGGTTAGTGGTCTCAGGAGTCTCTGAGAGCAGGAAGTGAGGGTTCTGTGTGCATTCCTTATTAAGTCTTTTTTTCTCTTTCATCTTTTGTTTCCTTTTATTTTTAAAATATTTTGAATAGATCTGGAGAAGACAAGTGTATAAACCCTAGTTATAAAAGTAGTACATGTTGAGGAAAACTCACCTAATTCCAAAAGGAAACATGGAAAGTAAAATCTCTTCCAATTTCTCTTATCTCTGTCAAATTCACTTCTCTTAGGTGTTTAGTTCTGGTGTATCCCATTACCAAACATAGGTAGACTCATGATATACTTATTCTGTTCTGATGCCATTTCCTTTGTAAGTAGTTAGGACACATTTTGCTCTTTTTTAGTTTTCTCATGTTGGTGAATCCAGATTGACCTCCTTCTTCATTGAGTGAATCTCAGCCAATTAACTGGAACTTTTCACTGTCCTAAAGAATGCTTCAGTGGACACCTTCATACTTCCGCATGCTCCTATCAGCAGTGCTCTCACGGAAGTAAAAGGAGCCTTATAGCCCCAGTGGTGTTCCTCGACCGTGTTGTATGTGTTCCTTGAAGCTTTCGGGCCTCAAGAGATGCTTTTGCTGGAGGTTGGCTATTCCTAACTAAGGCTGCATTGCCTGACAGAAACCTCAGTTTTCTTTTTCTTAGTATTTGGGTACAGTTCTTTGAACTTAATTATTTTATACTTATCAGTTAAAACAGCAGTAGATAATCAGGTTTCATAAATTTTAATGAATAAAATTAAGATAGCAGTGATGATAATGTTTTATGGGTTGCACATTCAAAATACTGGGCCTGTTTAATGTGGATAATGGAAAATGTCCTTGATGATGAGGGGACCAGGAACCGTCCTAATTGCTGGCCCCTCCCAGACATCTTCCCAGATAAGCTGGAGAACATAGTTATATTTTCCATGGGACCTTTTGTTAGGTGCTAAAATGATGGCCAAGAACTAGCAGATAAGACTGAATAGGCAGTCATGAGATCAGTAATGTGGTCAAGAAGCCTGACCTTGACTTTCTTCTGTGGTCCTATGGGCCAAGCTCTTAAGTTCTCTGGGGTTTAGTTTTTCCATTTATGTGAAAGAAACTGTCAGGCTCTCATTTTGACTAGGCATGTTTATAAAGAGAAAATGAGTTGAAGCCTGGTAAAGCTAGGTAAAGTTTAACTCTGTATAAAAATGATAGAAGAATTTTCGGGTTGGAACAGTTTTCCACTCTACGTCAAGAGATGCTGTGTATCTCTAGGTCAGTCAGTGTGTGAAGTCCCTGCATTCACGCTCAGGGGTGCTTCTACTCAACAGGACAAGCTCCCAGGGTTACCAGCTGGCAGTGTGAGGTGGGAATAGTCTTTGGGTTTTTGTCTTTGTTTTTTGTTTTTTTTTATCCCCTAGAAAATGAGAAGCCCTGGTTTTAGCAGGGATGTGGGTGTGCGCGCATGCACATTCATGCTTGTGTGTGTGTATATGTGCTCGCGCACACGTAGCTGCTCTAGGCTGAGGCAGGAGGAGCCGTGCTGAAGAGTAGGGATATGGAGTGCCTGTGTCCCACCCTGTTTCCTTCTGTTGTTAGCTTTCTCTGCCCAGCATGGGGAACACAGAGCAGCTCCTCCCTGGTTTCTCTCTGAGCAGCTCCCAAGCGTGCTTTCTCTCTGCTCTTCAGGGAGGGAAGCAGCTCCTCTGGGGGACGTGCCTAATGGGCTAGAAGATGTGGGCAGAGAGGCCTGCAGTGCGGCTAATGAGCCGAGTCAGCCACGCTCAGAGGAGAAGAGCATGAAGACGGCTCAGACCTAATGCCAGGCAGGCCCTTGCCTGCTGGGGTCCGTGCTCAGGGACTGATGCCCACAGAGGCTACAAGGTGCTGTTTACTCACCTCCTAGCTCCTTGTGTAGATAGAGATGAAGGCTGCTTAGACTGCTCCGTGACCTATGTTGCTGGAGCTCCTGTCCAGAGTCAGCAATTTCCCCCGTGCTACAGGGGTTGGACTCTTGGTCAGTGGTCTCCTAGTTCTTGTTGAAGGAAAGAATTCATAGAGACATTTAATAGAATGCTTAAGCAGAAGTTTATTTAGCAAAGCTAAACAAAGTAAAGACTCTAAGGAGACTGAAGTGGCCTTCTTCAAGGCAGGGAGCAGCCCAGTGGGTTCTGAACTGTGTATCTATTAGGTGGGTGCCTTTGTCCTCCCACATCATGGTGGGCCATATCTCCCTTTTAGGATATCTCTTCCCATGATCCCTGGAACAGGGAGGTGTCCCAGCAGCAATACACATATATTGTAATGAGGATGCAGACCCTTAGTACACATGTGTGGGAAAATGCCCCGCTGTCTTAGTTTCTGGCACAGTAAGATCAGTCTCACTGAAGCATTAAAGATGCCTAGCCTTAGAGAGGCATTGTCACCATTAGGTGACACATGTTGCAGGATCCCTTTGGAAAAGGAGCTAGAAGCAGAAGGTTAAGGTAGTTTTTCACCCCTTTTCTTGTCTTTCTCAATGGAGAGAGCCTACAGTCTGAGCTTTCCCTGGTAACATCAGCTTGGGGCTTGGCTTCAAGAAAGGAGTTGATGAGGTGCAAATGCAGGTCTTTTCTCCACTCCGCTCTGGGGCGCATGTGCAGGGAGGAGAAAGTCCCCTGAGCAAACTGAAAAAGGCCTCTTGCTACGGAGACAAACTGTCTGGGAAGCACAGGTCTGGATTCCAGTGTTTGTGCTGTACAAGTCCCTAACCGTCTAGGCCCTGGTATTTGTAAAGGAGCCTGTACTGTAAAGGAGAGAGGTCATCCCTACGGAAAGGGCACCACCAGTCATCTCCTGTCCATATGAGCTGTTAAGGCAGGCAGGCCTCCAGGTCTTGTGCTGGATCCTAACCTTTATGGAGTCTCTTCAGACCTTTATCCTGCAGGCTTTGGCTACTGAATATCACTGTGGTTTAGAGATTAAAGTGGAGGAGGAGTTCATGACCTGAGTGTTGTGGCCAAAACAGCTTGAGGCAGGGTTCGTTTTGCATCAAAGGTTTGCCTTGGCTTTGGAGGGATTTGTGGGATCCTCCAGGTAGGATCTGGGACTCTCTTAAAGTCAGTCTGGTTTGGGGTGATAGAATCGTAGCTGCAATGTTATTAGTATTCTCTCTCTTCCTAATCTTGACTATTTTTTTTCCCATCTTGGGAACTCTCTGAAGACTTGGGGAAAAAATGCCTGGGTGTGGGTACTTTATGGAAGTCTGCATGACTTTAACTTTGTGTCAAGAGGATATGCCAAATATAGCCTCAGTTTGCCATCTCATTCTTCCTGAACCTTCGCCCTGTAGATTTCTGAGATGATGACTGTGAAGTTCCTCGTGTAGTATATAAAGCTCAGGAGACATGTAGTCATTTAGCTCTGCCTGTTTCATTTTCTTTTAGCATGGGCTTCCTACATGACCAACTCCCCAACCCTCATTGTTATGATTGGTTTGCCAGCCCGGGGTAAAACTTACGTGTCCAAGAAACTAACACGCTACCTCAACTGGATTGGGGTACCCACCAAAGGTAGGTGCAGGCCATTCATCCCTTGGGAAGGGGGTTGATTAGTTCTGGGGCCACACAGGCCTCTGGGAGACTTAGTCTTTCTAACAGCGAGGTCCTATAATGCTTCTGATGAAAATCAAGATTGCTTCCTCATTTACTGGATTTGTTTCCTGTCCTCAGACGTGTCTCCTCCAGGCCTACACAGATCATCCTAATTTTGATAGAACTTTTCAGAATTAATGAGAATATGATATTTCAGAACCCTTAGCATATGTGCCCTGTCTTTGAACCTTAGTGGTACCCTGCTTAGACAGTAGCTGAGGAGAGAGAAGCTCAGCTTTAGACTTGCCCACATTCTTCTTATAAGTCAGGGCTTTAACCCAACTTGTCTTAGTTTGGTATTGTTTGACATACAATGGTGCTTTTTCCATCCCATGGGCCACTCTGTTAGGCCAAGACATCTTCTTTAGTGGGGCATTGTACTGTTTTTACTGCAGTGTTTAATCTTGGGGTCTATCGGCGTGAAGCAGTCAAGTCCTATAAGTCTTATGACTTCTTTCGTCATGACAATGAAGAGGCTATGAAGATCCGCAAGTGAGTCTTTTCTTCTTTTTGTTTTAAAGGTGTGAGACTGAATGTGTTAGGGCCCCCATTTTTCCTCCGGAAATGTCTTAGGAGCATTTTAATGGATGTGATTCGATTATAAGATCAGCTTGGGTTACGTGGGTAGCAGACAGGGCTCTAGAAGATGCTTTTGTGCGATGCCTAAAGAGGTATAAGGCCTATAAATTGGACAGGGAGGAAGTTGTAGGACGGTGTGTAAACTTCCGTGGGAAAGCTGAAAGATTTAGTTAGGGGAAAACATGTCCGTAAAGAAATCGAATGGGAAGTGACTCCCACACTGAGTGTGCTGTCTCCAGCCTCGTTTGATCTTAGCTCTTTTCGCTGATTTCCTTTGTTCTCATGGCAGACAGTGTGCTCTGGTAGCACTGGAAGATGTTAAGGCCTATTTTACTGAAGAGAGTGGGCAGATTGCGGTAAGCCTCGTCTGCTTCCCCTTCATTGCCACTCTCCCAGCATCCTGGTTACTTATCTCTACCTGGAGTCGGCCTTGGGCACCGTTTCATTTTTCTCCTGTTCATTTACTTTGTATGCTTTCTGCCTAGGTGTTTGATGCTACCAATACCACTCGGGAGAGGAGGGACATGATTTTGAATTTTGCTGAGCAGAATGCCTTCAAGGTGGGCTGACTCTATGCTGGAAGAAGAGACAGGAGCGGGGTGGGAACTGGGATGGAGAGGTGGGACTGTCGATCCCTTTGACTCTGATGAGCACAGGATTAGGATAGCTGTCTGGTTGTCCACTTGGGGCATATGCCAAGGCCTCGAGTGTTTTTGTTAGATCCTTTCTCTCACCTTTATTTGGCTTGTAAGGTCCAGGGGATGTGGTAAGACCTGTTTTTAAAGGAAGAGGCCTTAAAGGCCACTTTATGAATCTTGAAGGTGTGGTAGCTGGGTGGAGTAGGTGAGTATGTGCTTTCAGTTAACAACCTGACGTTTTGACGTGTTTATCATGCCTTTGCTCCATGGCCAGGTATTCTTTGTGGAATCTGTCTGTGATGACCCTGATGTCATTGCTGCCAATATTCTGGTGAGTGTCATCCCTGTCACCTGTAGTCACTCAGTCTCAGTCTGTGTGTGTGGTGTGTGTGGTTTTTGGGTGTGTGTGTGTATATGTGTGGTGTGTGTGGTTTATGTGTGTGGTGTGTGTGTGTGGTGTATGTGTGTGGATTCTGGGTAGTGAAAGAAGGAAGCTAACAGATCTTCTTTATCTGAGAATAATTTTTCTATATTTTATTTATTATGTATACAATATTCTGTCTGCATGTATGCCTACAGGCCAGAAGAGGGCACCAGACCTCATTACAGATGGTTGTGAGCCACCATGTGGTCACTGGGAATTGAACTCAGGAAGAGCAGGCAGTGCTCTTAACCTCTGAGCCATCTCTCCAGCCCCCATATCTGAGAACATTTTGTACCTTTATACTCTTCTTTTGGGAAAAGAACCTGGGCCTGCGAGGAATATACTAAAAATAAGTTGCTGAATGAGGAACACCTTAGACTGTGGGTGTTCTGGCTTTGTGATCTTTCCTGCTGGTGAGACCTAGATATTGTGCCAGAGTAGACTTTTTTTCCTGTTCAGTCACCCTGATAGGAAGGTTATTTATTCAGTAGTTGTCCAGTGTTCTGATCAGCCTTGACTATTGCACTCTTATGCCCTGTGGGGCACAGCACCAGACAGTACTCACTGGACAGGCTGTTTTGTTCTGTGCCAAGTAGGCATCTTTGTATGCTTTTCTAGAGGCATCTTCCCATCATAGGAACTGGAGTTACTTTATATGAGGAAGAGGCAGTAATTCCTAAGTCAAATACCAGGTCATATACCCTATTCTGTGAAGCAGAAGGGGGAAATTGGAGCCCATTCTGTGTTTGCAGGCAAATACATAAAGGGGCCAGGGCTCAGAAGTAGTATTAGCAGCGTGACTCCCTCTGTCCTTTGGCCAAAGGCAGGCACATGACTCCCCAGTTGTCTTCCCTTTCTTGGTTGCCAGGGTCACAGGACAGGATGAGGGAGTCCAGTGAGTGGGGAATGCCAGTGCTCTAGTGAAAAGCTGTGTATGGACTTCTTCTGTTTTTAGCAGCGGCTGTTTGTCGGAGGCTGTTAAGAACAGAATTCTGACCAGGCCCTTATGTTCCTGTGCTTTCAGGAGGTAAAGGTGTCAAGCCCTGACTACCCTGAAAGGAACAGGGAGAATGTGATGGAGGACTTCCTGAAGAGAATCGAGTGCTACAAAGTCACTTACCAGCCCCTTGACCCAGACAACTATGATAAGTAAGGTTCAACACCATGATCTGAGGGTTGAGGCAGGAGGAAAAGTGTCATTCTCCCTGCTGGTCTCTAATTGTTTCTGGTAATCTAAACCTATGATATTTCTGCCATTTCACTGAACAAGGTTTTTATTGGGATACTCTCTTAGTTAGGTTACCATTGCTGTGATAAAACCCCATGACCAAAAACAAGCTGGGGAGGAAAGGGTTTATTAGACTTACACTTCCATATTGTAGTCCATCACTGAAGGAAGTCAGAACAGGAACTCAAGCAGGGCAGAAACCTGGATGCAGGAGCTGACTGATGCTGAGGACATGGAGGGGTGCTCCTCATGGCCTGCTCAGCCTGCTTTCATATAGGACCCAGTATCACCACCCCAGGGATGGTACCAACTACGATGTGCTGGACCCTTTCCCGTCAATCACTAATTAAGAAAATGCCCTATGGCCTGATCTTACCGAGGGATTTTCTTAATTGAGGTTCTTCCCTCTCGGATGACTTTAGCTTATATTAAGGTGACATAAAACTGTCCAGCACAGATATTTATGTGTGTTGTATATTTTACATATCCATACTTGACCTGTGGGTTGGGACCTCTTTGTGGGTAGAACAACCCTTTTACAGGGGTTACATATCGGATATCCTGCATGTTAGATTTTATATTATGATTCATAACTAGAAAAATTACAATTATGAAGTAGCAATGAAAATTTTATGTTTGGGGGTCACAACATAAAGAACTGTATTAAAGGGTCTCAGCATTAGGAAAGTTGAGAACCACTGCTTAAGAGCAAGGGCTTCCACCTAAGCGTTAGTGACATTTTGAACTATGGAATTCTTCGTTATAGGGACTACTTTGTGTATTCTTGGCCTCTGTCCACTAGGTGCCAGGAACACCTCTAAACTGTGACAACTAAAATGTTTTCAGATATTGGTAGATGTCTCCTAGGGACCCAAATCATCTTAAGTTAAGAAGTGCAAGTCTGAACTAGAATGCTATAGGATATCTCTTAGAGATGCATCATCATTTTAAAGTTTATCATAAATAATTTGTATTTTAATATATATGCTTATTACATATATATTACGTAAATTCAGGGACACTGCCTGGATGAAGGAGAAATGTCTCATCAGTGCTAGCCATCATGGCTGTGGTAATGTCTCATGGCAGCGAGGCATGGAATATAGATCGATTTGCCTGGTGTGGGATATAGTGAAATGTTAAGTCCATCTTGCAGAAAAGCAGTGTATATATGGAAACCTGTGAGAACACTGGCTTACGAGATCATGTGTTTGGGTTTTTGAGACACAGTCCATGCTGCCTTTAACTTGCTATATATTATGTAGTATAACCTCGAATTCCTAACCCTTCTTCTCCCACCTCCATAGTGCTGGGATTGTATTTCAATGAAATAATATTATACCCACTACTTTTCTCCTCACGGTGGCAGAACACTTGCCATAGAAACTCTGGGAGGAGAAGTTTGTTTTGGATTGCTCGTCAGCATGTAACAGCCCCCATGATAGGGAAAACATGGGAGCAGGACTGACCCCCACCCGTGCTAGTGGAAGGGTGCTGCTTGCTTACATCTCAGAGGCTCAGGAAGCAGAGAAGTAGCGCTCACCTGGCTTTGTCTCCCCCTCTTACCCCATTTTTTTGAGTCAAGATATCACTGTGTATGTGTATCCTTGAGCGCAGGGCAGTGCTCGTGCTGGGGTCACAGGTGTGAGGCCCCATGCCTCGCTCCATTTTCTCTCCTGATTGAGTCCAGGACTCTTGAGACCTGTCCAGTCAGGGTGAGGGTCCCTCCCCTATTCAGTCTCTGTGGAAACACCCTCACACATATACCCAGGGGTGTGTGTCTCTAGTGCCCAGTCAAGTTGATTATGAAAACCAGCCAGTGTTCGATCACTGCAGCAGTCTCATTAGATTTTTGAGCTTTTCATTTTCTTCACATGGAGTTCCCAGAATACAAATATTGAGGAGCATTTCTGTAATAAGTGACTGAACAGCACTGCCCTAGAGGTGGCCTCAGGAGATATACCAGAAGGATATTTATGTTTATAAGTGTATGTGTTTATAGACTTTATCTCTGGTGGTAGGTCAGTGGGTGATTTACCGTATTGTACCTTTTTCTCCTGATCATTATTTTGAATAAGCGCTCATTACTTTAATTTTAAGAAAAATTCTATGGCCACAAAGCAAATAGCGGCAGTGTCTTTGAGAGAGGTTGATTAGGTGGCTCAGGGTGCAACAGGTACCCTGGCTAACCCGCCCCCCTTCCCAGTCCATGCTCTCTCTAGATATTGACTATGTCATGTGGGGGCCCATGTGTCTGTCTCACCAAAATTTGAAGTTAGCAAAATCTTCAAGTCACTTAGTCTAGGTCTGGGAAGCCTGGATTCTGTTTCCCATACTTACACATATTTCATGGCACAGGATAGACACCAAGGAGAGAGTGTATGCTTGTTGGATGTTCAATAAATTGTATGCTGTCTTAATTTAAAGATGTAATCTAGCTCTTAACATTTGGTTGTTCTATAAACATGGCAATGATTGGGAGAGAAGGAAGAGCTGAGGGTCTACCAGTCAGTATACAACTCATTCTCCCCATACACTTTGTTCATTTGTTTGGAGTCAGGGTCAGACTCGAGCCCCATTCCTCTTGGCCTCCAAAGCGCTGCATTTGTCAACAGGTGTTGATAGCCTTGCTCCCCTGCCCGCCTCACTCCTGGCTTCAGATGTTCTTACTGTGAATTTCTGCTTTGTACCCTATTTCAGGGATCTGTCTTTCATCAAGGTGATAAACGTAGGCCAGAGATTCCTGGTCAACAGAGTCCAGGACTACATCCAGAGTAAAATTGTCTACTACCTTATGAATATCCACGTCCAGCCTCGCACCATCTACCTTTGCCGGCATGGAGAGAGTGACTTCAATCTCTTGGGAAAGATTGGGGGTGACTCTGGCCTTTCGCTTCGAGGCAAGCAGGTGAGCAGTTAGCCAGCAGGCTGGATTTCCTGAGCTTAGAGTTAGAAGGGCGTGATGGAGGTCATCTGTTTTATCCCCTCCTGCTTAAATCCCATTTGGGCTTAGGCTGTGGTTTCACAGACAGTGCTGAGGATGTTCTCTGCTTACTGTACCTAGCTCTGGATTAAAGTGCGGGTCACTTGAGACCCTTTCTGCTGTGACCATTCAGCCATCAGAGATTACTGGGCACTATGTGTGGCGTCACACAGAATCCTCCAGCTGAATTTCATTTCCTCTTGGGTTTATAGTTTGACCATGGCTAGTAGTCTCTGTGTGTACTGTGTGCGTGGTGTGTGGGTTTTCTTTGTTTAGCTTTTATTTCCAAACCCTAGTTTGCTCAGGCTCTGAAGAAGTTTCTGGAGGAGCAGGAGATCCAGGACCTCAAGGTGTGGACGAGCCAGTTGAAGAGGACCATTCAGACCGCTGAGTCCCTTGGGGTGACCTACGAGCAGTGGAAGATTCTGAATGAGATCGATGCTGTGAGTGGGGATTTCTCATCGACACTTCCAGAAGTTACAGTTTGAGGAGCTTAGAGAACTAGAATCATCAACTAGAAACTGAGGAACCTGAATCCAGTCATTTCAGAGGTTAGACGAGGAAGGGGTTAACTACTCCTCATCAGGGCTTCCTGACTGCTCTCGTACCTGAACCCAAGGTGAGATCCACTCCAGTCTTTACCTGAACTGCTGGTGCTTGCAGAGACTGGAGCTAACAAGGACTTATTTTGTAATTCCTAATTACCCAGTTCTGTAATACTTGCTTTAATCATCCAGCCAGCAGTTCTGAGAAAATACTTACCCAGATTTTTCTTGGCATTCTTTATTGCTTAGCTCAAATATATATTTCTTTCTGTTTTATTGGTACCAGGACTCACTCTAACCCAGGTTGTCCTGGGTTAGAACTCATGATCTTCCTGCCTCAGCATCCAAAATATTGTGCTGACAGACATGAACCACCATGCTCAGCTTAGCTGCTTCTGTTTCCCTCCTTCTCTTTTATTCATTCCACAAGGGTTCTCTTCCCCTCAGTTTCTCTCCTCTGGTTCCTGCTCCTCTTGTCCTGCAGACTCTTGCTGACCTGTGGCTTTCCTTGCAATAGTAGGACAGAGTGGCCGCTCAAGCTAGAGCAACCACCTCTCTCTGAAGTGCCTCGTTTCCACGGCACCTAGTGACCCCTGACTTGTGGCCACAGGCAGGTGCAGCACATGGCGTCCACACATAGTGAGGCACTGCTGTTCTTCAGTGTCATGGTCCTCGTCTGGGATGTGTTGATGTTGGCCCGCCCATGTCCTGATGAGTCGGTACGGCTCTTGCAGGGCGTGTGTGAGGAGATGACCTATGCAGAGATTGAGAAACGGTACCCAGAGGAGTTTGCACTTCGAGATCAAGAGAAGTACCTGTATCGATACCCTGGTGGGGAGGTGAGGCTTCCTTCACTTGGAGCAGCTGCCTGCTGCTTGGCTGGGCACTTTTCTAAAGGGGAGGAGAAGGGGTGACTTAACAGTCCTTTGTTCTCCTGCCTTTGGCCAGCCACACCTTAATTCAGCCTAGACAGTTAGTGCTTTACATTTCCTTAGCTTTTGAAGCTCTCTAGCAGACAGGGTGACAGAGAATGTTAAGAGTGAGCATGATCATGTTGCTGCCTTTTTTGTTCTCTTCCCTCTACTCCACTCCTACAGCAGATAGAGTGACCAAGTAAGCGTGGGGCATGGGTTTCTTCCTTACCATGTTTTAGCTGCTGTCCTTACTGAAATGGCTTCCTAAGCTAGGGTCCATGTGCTGAAGGTAAATGACGTGTGATGGCAGAGGTTCAGGAAGCCTGTTAGTGTCTGTGAGTAAAAGGGAAGTATTCACACTTGCATTTCTTGAACTGTGGTTTTGAGTCTAAATATTGCTTTTGAAAGCTCTGGATAGTCTGAGGGAACCAGGGCTGGAGCCATTAGGCAACACAGAGACACCATGCCTCCCAGAGTAGTCTCTCGATTCTGGAGCATAGCCAACTACTTGGCTGCCAGCATGCACCTGGCCTCTCACCAGCTCTCCTTTCTTGTTCTGAAGTCATACCAGGACTTGGTGCAGCGACTCGAGCCTGTCATCATGGAGCTGGAGCGTCAGGGCAACATCCTCGTCATCTCCCACCAGGCTGTCATGCGCTGCCTCCTGGCCTACTTCTTGGATAAAGGAGCAGGTGCTGTCTGAGGGAAGGGATGGGGGAGGGGATAAGCGCACACAGAGGGACAAGGCTGGACTTGGTGGTACCAGGATTCTTGACCACTGGCTCTCCTTTTCTTCCACTCATATTAAAGTGCATTCTTGAGGCTGCAGTGTGAAGCTCCCAGCAGCCGTTGGTCAGCCACTCCAGTCTGCTGCCACCAAAGCCAGCAGTGAGGATGACTGATCTGATGCTTCCTGATGTGCCTAAGGGCCAGCTCCAGCTGGCATTACTGGCAGCATCCAGGCAGGCGGCTGAATAGTGCAGTTTGTCTGTCTAGCTCTTGCGGGTTGGTTACTAGAACTGTCTTGAGCCTTCGGGTTGGGGTAGAGCACTTGTTTTAGAACAGCAGCAGGAAGCACTGCTGTGGCCTGGCTTTCCCCAGTCCTTCAAGTTCAGGCCTCTTGAAGCCTTTGGCTGCTTTTGAGTGCTCGGGTAGGCCATAGTCGTCCTTTCCAGGAGGCCTTGGCTGCAGAGCCCCTTCCTTTTAACTTGCATTTCAGATCTACATGGGCCTTATTTCCTTCCTTATCACTCAGCAGTTTGCTGAGTTTAGGGGAGGGGCTGTGCTGCTCCATGTGGTCAGGGTAAAGAATTCTCATGAGCCCCTTAGATTCTCCTTTCCTCAGATGACCTTATTCTGTATACTAAGACTTTGCTCACCGGGTCTTTCTTCTTTCAGATGAATTACCGTACTTGAGGTGTCCTCTTCACACCATCTTCAAACTTACTCCTGTGGCCTATGGTAACTATGAGCTTGAGCTGGGGAGAGGTGGGGACTGAGGAACGTCAGGATAGATGGCTTTTTGTAGAGCAGGGATGCTCTGTTAGTAGCTTGCACTTGAAAAGAGCATATGCACATGCAATTCTCTGGGAGTACACATAGGCCCCCAGCATATACTCGACCATGCTGGGACTGAAGTTTTCTTTGAGCTGTTTCTTGATGGCTTTCTCTCTTCCTTGTCCTCTCTACCCTTACTCTCTTTTAGTTGGTTGTTTATTTCTTGGTTTTATTTTGTTTTGTTTTTTGGGACTAGTTGAGTCTAGCCTGGCACTCCAGGTAGTGTGGAACTCATGACAATCCACCTGCCTCAGCCTCCAAGTGCTAGAATTTCAGGAGTAAGCCACCATGCCTCGCTCTGACAGCTTTTGTTTCCTCCTTTTTTCAGGTTGCAAAGTGGAAACAATTAAACTCAATGTGGAGGCTGTGGACACACATCGTGATAAGCCAACTGTAAGTATTTCCTGGTTGCCTTGAGTCTTTGAATCTTTGTATCCAGAGACTTGGGTTTCTTTTATGTACAAAGAAAAAAAATCCAGAATTCGTGGCCTGTAAAGGTCTCCTTACTTCTGAGAGGGAAAGATGAAGGGATTTTTAGTTCTTCTAAATGAGTGTCTCGTTGATGAATCTTAGCCCTGAGAGTTAGCTCCTGGGAATTGAGTTCAATATACAAAGCGTTTGGCTGAAGTGAAATGTATCAACTCCCTTGCTGCAGTCCCAGGGATGTCTCCATTTATAAAGCAGGGTCCAGGGAGTCACTGCCAGTATAGTCAGCAGATGCAGGTCAGCTCCTTGGTCTGGTCTTGGTAACTTGTATGGTCTTAAGCAAACGCCTTTGTTGACTCCCTTACTGCTCTTCAACGTGGTCCCCAGAGGTCTTCTGTGATGACCCTTTTATTCCTCTGGGGCCATGGGCTCAGACTCTGCCCTGCTTGGCCCCGTGTGTGGAGAAGCAGGAGGAAGAAGGTTAGGCTCAGGAGCGTGGGTAAGGTTTTGGTGTGGCTTTCACGTGTGTGGTGTCCCTCCATTTCCAATCAGCACAACTTCCCCAAGAGCCAAACCCCTGTAAGGATGAGAAGGAACAGCTTTACGCCTCTGTCCAGTTCGAACACAATAAGGCGTCCAAGAAATTACAGTGTTGGGAGCCGGCCCCTCAAGCCCCTCAGCCCTCTCCGAGCTCTGGACATGCAAGAAGGGGCGGACCAGCCGAAGACCCAAGTCAGCATTCCGGTGGTGTAATTGTGTGTTTCCCTCCAGCTTTGGCCTCTTGCCCTTGCCACTAATCAGCCAAGAAGTCATTTAACTTTACCCCACTCCCGTCCCAGCATTAATCTGAACGTGGAATATGAGCTCATGCGTGTGCAGAGCAGCCTTAGACATTCTCTAGTGTAAACACCTCAGCCAGGGGCAAGATGGCAAGTTGGGTCTTTTTAGGACAGGTTCCCAGATGGGATGGTCTGAAGGACGAGGAGCCAAGCATGAGTCATGGACTTGGTTCTTCTGTTTCCTCATGTCTGACCCACTAATGTCTCTGTGAAGTGTGTGTGTGTGTGTGTGTTTGTGTGTGTGTGTGTGTGTGTGTGGGTGTGGTGGTGGTGGGGGGGGAAGAGGGTGGGATGGGAGGGAGTGCTGAATAGAGGGAGATAGAAAACCCATGTGTCCTTCACCTGTGTTCTTTTAATCTTTCCCTATACTCCATTTGACTTCCGTGTCTTATAGCTTCGCTTTGGGTTGTCTGGGGTATTGCATGTCATTGTGGTGTCTTAAAGTAAGGGATGGCTGATAGGAGTCTGAGCCCCATTGTTGCTGTCTGCAAGTGGGTCTGGATCTGCACTGGGAGAGTCTTTTTCCTTTCCCTTCTGCCTTCCTCTCCAGCCAGGTCCTGCAAGGGTCAGCCCAGGCTGCAGAACATCCACAGAGAGCCCTGGAGTTTGCAAGTGGACAGGGTGAGAGCTCTTGCCTCTTTCCATGAGAAACAGCCCTGAGTTCTTGCTGCCCTGGGGAGCTGGCTCTAAGGATGTGGACATGTTTTGGTTTGTGTTACTAACTCGAGGAGCCAGACAGTCCTTTGTTGGCTGTGGAGTGGGGCTGGGTAGGGTGAAGTCTAGTTCTCACAAATTCACGGTTCAGACTTTTTGTCCTGTGGCTCTCAGTTTCTTCACAATTCCAGTAGCTTTCATGCAGCCCATGAACTTTGGGGCTGTGTAAAAGCACCAGGATCCAACATTGAGCCCTGAATGTCTCCAGGCAGAAGGCAGGGTGGTCAATAAGTTCAGTAAAGCTGCTCCCCATTTACCGATACTTTTTAGAATGATTTCCTTAAGCTAAGTTTTTACATGAAAAATTATTTTTTGAGCATAAAAAAAGTTTTGAATTTAACCTCTCTTATTGGGGCATTTTGTTTATATTGAGAAACTATCTCAGTAATCCAAGGAGTCTCCTGAGGCTTGGCTCTCGGGAGTTTTGTGTATCTATTGCTTAAGGGGGATTCTCTCTACAGTGGCCCAGGGCCCTGTCTGTTGAGCTCAGTACCAGTCCACTTGAGTTCACTTTTCTAAGGGACAGATCTAAAGGTTTCAGGAGACTCTTCAGAAGAGACAGGTGACTCCCTACCTCTCAGTTTGTCATGTGGGGCCAACTGGTGAGAGTAGTAGTTTTCTATGAGATTTTGTCTGGGGATAAAAGCTTTTTGCATGGTTCTTATCCAGAGACAGACCTCAGACTCTTCTGGAGAATTTTTGAAAGACATACTTGCCTGGGTTCCCTTGGTCAGGCTGAGCACTGCCTCAGATCTCTGTATTGGAGCCTAGATATGTGGGTGTTTAAATTACTGTTTTAGTGGTCAGGCCACTAAGGGTCAGAAGGTCCTTGGGGAGATGGCTCAGCTGTTAAGAGCCAAGCTGCTCTTCCACTCTAACGCTCATGTCGAGTGGCTTACAGTAGCCTGTAACTCCAGTTCCAGGGACTCTGATGCTCTCTTCTGGGCTCCCCAGGTGCTTTCATATGTGCAGCTCATACACACATAGACAGAAATAAAACTAAACAAAATATTTTTTTTAAAATCTCACTTTATGAAGCTGGATAGAAAATACCAGCATATTGTTATCTTAGATAAATATGTATCAGACTGGAAATTCTGAATTCTTGGTTCTGATGCTGGAGCAGAGCACAGTTTTGAATGAGTTACCCCCTCAAAGGCAGGCTGCTTTGTTAGAAAGGTATTTTAGGTTCTAGCCCCATCTTTTCCCTTGGCATTACAGGCGATGTGCGACACATTACTGACTTAAACACGTACCCTTGGGCCCACACTGAGAATTCGTGCAAGTTGAAGGTACACGGAGATAGAGCCATGAGCTAATGGAGGTCATCATCACAGGCTACTGACTTCTGGCCTTGAGCCCTCCACCCTTCCATCCCACGTAGCTGCTTCAGTCTGTTTCAGACTGCCTAAATTCCTGAAACTTGGCCAAGACTAAGAAACTGGCAATTCCTGTTAGGTATTGTTCATTGTCCCCTCTTGACCTTTGTTTGTGGGCACTGGCCTTAGTGAGGAAAACACATGCAAAAATATAAAACAAAACAAACATTTTCATTTTCCTTGCCCTGGAGATTACAAACAAAACAGCAACAACAACAAGCCAACCCTTAAGAGCCAGGCGTGTGTGTGTGTGTGTGTGTGTGTGTGTGTGTGTGTGTGTGTTTAGGGCCGATCAATAGGGATTGGATAACCTATGGGGGCTTGTTCTGGAGAAGACTGTCTCCCTCTCTCAGCAACTGTTGATTGCCTGTGGCTCTTCATCTAGAGGGTTTTCATTCATACACACGTGTGTGTATGTGTATGTATGCATATGAATGCAATAACAACTAGGAGGATTATGAACTTGAAAGAGAGTAGGGGAAATTTTGGAGTTGGACAGGGAGTAGGAGGGCTAGAATACAGTACTCATGTATGAAATACTGAAAGTAAAAATAAAAAAGACAGGAGATGTAATTGATAAATTAATATTTGTAAAAGAAGCAAACAGGCTAGAAGAGCTGATTTGGGGGTAGAGGATGGCCTGCCTTCTGGCTGTTTTCTTGTTCTATGGCTGTGAAACCCCAAGGTTTGGGATGTCCTCTCACAGTGTGAGGATGAGATGTGGACTGGGCGGTAGGTCTGGCACTTTTACATGGTTCCCTTGTCTACTGTTTAGTCATTAGCAGCTCTGGTCTAAATTGGCGTCCAGTCCTTTCTTCTGTTGCCAGGTAAGAGTAATTCAGAGCTACTGAGTGGGGAGAGGGAGAACCCTGACCCAAGAATTAAGGATCTAGTTGCAAGGGGAGACTTGCTGACTACCTGGAGCTAGGCTCCCCTGTTGTAAGAACCGTCTATAGGCGCGGTTCACTGGGTGATCATTCTGACTCTGTCTACTCCTCGCTCTTTCGGTTTCCCCTGTGTTAGTTCGCTTCTGGTACAAGAAGAGCTGGGGTAGTCTTGTTATCTCTGGATAACAGGGAGTGGAAGTTGCTGAGAAGCAGCAGGGGTTTCAACATCCTTGAGCTTTTAGAGCCAGATCCTTCAGAGGAGCAGAGCAGAGAAGCAGGAAAACATTGGAAAGGGCTCTTTTTTCCAGAGTTGAGGGAAGTCCCACTTGTCATCTTTCCCGTTCCCCTTGTTACTTGCAGGTAGGAGATTACCCTGCTATGCTTGTGTCTGTGTCCCAGCCCTACAGAGAAGAGATGACTTGTGGGTACCCTGTGTTGAGGCTTTCAGTTTTGTTCTCGAGGGAATAGGTGAAGACTTGAATCTACCTGTGTAAATTCTACCTGTGTACAATGGAAGATAAAAGAATATTTTGTATTTATTTGTTCATTTATTTATTTTTAAAATCAAAGCTGAATGAAACCCCAAAGAATCTAAATTTAGAGCACTGTTTCTATCCTATCTTGTTTCTACTGGACATCGATGTAGTGCCTCTTCCCTTGGTACAAGAGTCACCGCATCATCTCTAGACACGCGCTATGTATGTGCTCACCACTCCCGCTGGCTCCTGAGAAGTCAGAGTTCGGCCTGCAGCGTGTTTGTGTTCCTAGACCTAATGGTGGAACTTCAGGCAAGAATCTGAATAGTCCTCTTTGAAAGCCACAGTTAATCCGCAGGCACCTCATTTGAGAAAACTGTAATTGTTAAGGAATAAGTCTGCCTGATGATTCTTCTGAGACACATGTGAGTTCTCTGAGTTCCAGAGAAGCTCTTTAGCCTGGAGTGACTGGTGAACAGGGAGTCCCATGGGCAGTTGAGGTAGCTCCAGTGATGGGTTTCATCCCTTCCAGTCTCAGAAGAACATTGTACTTGTTGAAGTCTCAGTGAGCCACCCAGTTTTCCTTGTATTCGTTTTGTTTGTGTTTTAAAGCTTTTTTATTTTAAAATTATGTAACAGTTGAGCCAGGTAGCAGGCCTGCCACGCAAGATCTTGGCTTTTCCCAAGAAGTGATGGACATTCATTGGAAGTGTGGCTAAGAATTTCATTTTGTAGTGTCCAGAAGACGAGAGGTCTGTTTGCCTCCTGTCTCTCATGTCTCTGTCCTGACTGGTAGTCTATTTACATTACTATAATTCCTTCAAGGAAGGAACTGAATATTTTGCATGTTTCCTTTATGAAGAAGTTCTATACACTGGACTTTTTATAGATAATTATTATATAATAGTGACCAACTTCTCATTATTTTTTAAAAGATGATTTTGTAGATTGCGTGTGATTTTGTGAGTCTAGCTAAGGTAATGTCGTCAGAGCTGTGACTTACGGAAGTCACAGTAGCAGTTAAGTTTTGACTCTGCTTGAAGTTGCTTCATCTGGTCTGCTGCTTACAAGGCGGGACTTCCCTTTTCTCACTGTTCCTGAACCTAATGTGTCCTCAGATGACCCTGTCACAGGCCACTGTGTCCTCACTGAGAGTGCTGCTGGTTTTAGTCTGCTGTGTTTGTCCTTAATCTTATACAAAGGGAAGTGTGCATTCACAAAGTGATCCCGAGAGTGGGCCAGAGTAGTTCTTTCCTTAAGCCTTTCACCGGTGTGACTAACAGTCAGGTGACTCAGTTTTTAAAGAGGCATCTGAATTGGGTGTGGGTTGTTTTTTTGTTTTTTTTTTTACTCAGATGTGGTGATTTCCCTGTGGCAAAAGCAAAGGACCAATCACAGTGGGGCATGTGATACAGAGAGGGGCTGAGCACTGCTGGTTTGGATGGAAATGGGCTGAACTTGGGAAGCCCAGTAACAGAATTTATTGCAGATTTCTTAGGCACAGCTCTCCTAAAAGTGAGAATATTAATCCTTAGTAACATTCTGATTTATTCTTGTGATATTGATAGTGAAATATTGCATTGGGTCCATTTAACGTGTATATAATTGTATTTAAAATGTGTTTTATGTGCATGCCTGTATAGAATGGGTTAATAAAGTTGTTGAATAACTTGACCTTATCTGAAGGCTTCTGGTATTATTTTTATTATTATTATGATAATGATGATGATGTTTGTATTTGAGTTCTTCTCATCTACTGTCTTCCAAAACTGTCTCATACTGGACAAACTGAGACTTAGCAAACCAGTGTAAGTTCTCAGAATGCCTGGAGTCCAGGGTCATAAGCATGGCTCTCTACCACCACCTTCTGGGCGAAAGTGGGAAGGACATTATTGGCAGTGCATCAACTTTAGTTGTCAAGTCCCTTGCACCTTCTGTACTTGTGCAAGAATTAAGAACCACAATAGAACACACTACATGTAACTTTTGTTATATGTTGTAAAGAAAATTTTTGGAGTTTTTTAAGAATTTGCCAAGCAGTTGTTTCTAAAATATGTCCTGCCTGTTTCTAAGCAGACTTCAGCCAATGGTATGAGATGGTACTAACTCCTCCTGGAGCAGAAGACCAATGGGTGTCCACTGTTCTCTTGCCTTACCCCACAGGGCACTAGCAAGGACCCAGAGCTCACTAGTAATTCAGAATCAGAGGCTTCCTTCCAAACTTACTAAGCCAGGATTTTAACAAGATCCCTGGGTGACTGAATTCATAGGCACGTTTAATATTTCAGAAACAAGCTTTCTAAGGGAAAGAATTTCTTACAAGGTAAACATTAAATACCAGTTCATGGGAAGAAGTTGACCTACTCTGGCTGCTGATTTCAGGGTGGACTGGGGTAACCATAACAGTTGTGACCCTCCTCAGAAGCCATATAGCTTGTGGCTACATTGCTACTGTGTGTGTGTGTGTGTGTGTGTGTGTGTGTGTGTGTGTGTGTGTGGTCTCTTGGCTGATACAGCATTCATCACCACAGAGATCCAACCCACCTCTGGTTTATATCTCAGATATGTAACTTAGAGTCCAGTTCTGACTCAGACGTGCACCCTACTGTTGTCGTAAGGTCAGCTTCTCTGTGAAAGAAGCCATTACATGGCTAGGCCATTCAAGTTTACCTGAGTCCCCAGGGTCAAGGTGTGTGCGGACACACCAGTGTGTCCTCACATGCTTACGAGGGTTGGGGATGGATTCTTCTGGCTTTTCTTTGTTCATCTCTTGGCTGTGGTGTAATGGCTCTGCTTCTCTTTCTGATTCCTAGGAAGTACAGAATGTGCTGACTGAGCCTAGACGCCCCTCAGTGGCATCCCTCACACTGCTCTCCTGATTGTGTGAGCCGAGGCCAGACCTCTCCGAGGAACTGGATCTGCTAAAAAGCCTGGGATGCCAGCATCACTGAGGCTAGAACAGGAAATTAAGCGGGAGCTTCTCCTTTGAGGCTTCCGGAAATGAGGCCTGGAAAACCTTGACTGTGTTTCTTCCCCTCCTGCGTCACAGGCTCATCACTGCACGGTGCCTCAGAACTCTTCAGCAGCCGAAACAGTTAACTCTTAACCTCAGTTGACCCAAATTTGCAAATGCCATTTTACTTAGGCATTCAATATTCTACCTAGGACCGCCTGCATCCTTAGCTGGAGATTTGCCCGACCTGCGAATGCACTGCTTTAGGACTGGTTTCTGGGTGAGGATGAACTTCAGGAAGGCCCTTTTGCTCAGTGAGAGCGTGCGTTGGAGGCGAGCAGGCTAAAGTGCAATAAGAGTGTCAGCGGTTACCTCTTGCCATGAGAGAAGAGACAGGTGACCAGGTAGATAGAGGCTGTCAGGAACTCGGCTCTCAAGTGCCTCTTCTCTGGTGACAGGAGAGTACTATCCATGGCTCCCATTTAATGTAGAGAAGTTTTTCCTGCTCCATATTCTTGGCAGGGTCTGGCTGCCAGGCTCCCCCAAAGGGGACCAGCCTTTCATTCTCGTGTAGCTACTGTTTTCTCTCCGAGGCTTGTGCCTCACATGGCCAGAGAGGACTGATTCCGTACCTCCTGAGGGGTCGGGAACGAAGGCTAGATGGGACCACCTCTATCCCACCGGGAAATAAAGATGCCTTCTTGATAATAAGTTACACTGGGGATTTTTTTTTTTTTTTAAATTTCAAAATGGGCAGAGGCAGACATGGCCCTTGTGGTCTCTGGGAAAGCCGTGGCCATGACTGCAGGAGCAGTGGCCCTGCGATGGGTGCCTCTGTCTGTCTGTCACTACTGGGGCCAGCTGGTCTCCCCCATGATACTTGACAAATGCAGCGTGGCCTCTGTTTGTCAGTGAGTGGATGTCCCTTCCAGACGAATCCAGTTGCTGTAACTAGATCACTGTCAAACGTAAACACACCGTCACTCCTGCTGCACCTCTGTTATTTATCCCTGAGGAACAATGCAGAAGCCACCGTGTATGGTACCTTACAGATAGAATCTAGTGTATTGTCATTTTATTTTTATTTGTTTCCTTTTCACTTGAAATGCTCACTTGTTGGGCAGAGAAATAGTATAGCAAGGAAAGTCCTGAAACGCAGCTTTTTCTACACGTTTTTTTATACTGTGGACAATACTGGAGACGGTTACCCGAGTGGGATGGGGACTGCAGGCAGTTCAGTGTCTCCCAACTTGCAGCTTGCTTTATATGCGCATCACCTGCAGGGAGGCCCCGTGCCCTGCTTGGTGTAGGCAGTTTTCCCTCGGCTGCTTGCAGCACATGGTAGGACAAGGGCTGCCTTCTGCATTGAAGTACACTCCTTTCTGATGATCAGATGGTATTTTTATGAAGCTATTTATTGTGTGTGAGGATTTTGCATGTATTTAATCAGAATGTCATGTATGTTCTGTGTGCTGCTAGCCGTGTAGGTGGCTTGAATCCTAAGCCTAATATCCGTAGTAGTATCACCTTAAGTTAAATTTGTAGAGCATAAGTGCCGATGTGTGTAACAGAATGACAGTAATGTTATGGCAGTGCATTTTGAAATGTTTTCATTGGTTTTATTACAAACCAAGAGATGTATTTCTCTGGAGAAAAGATCTCTCTTGGATAGTAAAACCATGCTGAAATGTCTGAGTTACGTAAACTGCTTTTGTAATAAAATAAAGTTATTTTTAATTAAAAGGTGCCATGAAGTGTTCAGTTCACATACAAAAAGGCATCATTTGGTACATTACAGATAGACAAATGTTAGTATTTTCCAAAGTGTACTCGAAAGTTTCTAGAGAAATGGTTCTGAAGTTATTAAATGGTGTCTGTGTCTCCAGCTATTACAGTGTCTGCAGCTGGTGACTGTCAGGATCCTCTAGCAGTTCAAAGTCAGCAGGCTGTGAGAGCCATGGCTAGACATTTATTCACTGATTTACAAATATTTAATGACTGCCTATTGATTGCCAGCTGATGACTCAATCCATTTTTGGGAAGCCACAGACAAGCAGGTTAAATGTACCTTTTTAAGTTGGGGCTGGTATTAGTAGCCTTGGAGGCCGTTGAGGATGGGCTCTTCCCTCCTAGTTGACTTTTGAGCCCATCTCTTGTTTCCTTGGTAACAATAGAAAGGCAAGCACCACAGGATTTAAGTCACTGAATGAAAAGTCATTCTTGAGGTCTATTAAGGTAAAGCTACTTCTTCCTGACCAAAGTAACAGGGTCTAGGTTTTACCCTTTTCCCTGGGTGGAGCGCTTGCATTCTAAGGCTCTCCAAACATATACAATAGTCTTCTTTTAAGAGTTAGCCAGCTGAACCTGTCAGTCACCAGGCCAGGAGTCCACCCCACTCCCGCATTAGGGAATCTGATTTGCTTGATGCCCTGTGAAGGAGAGGGAAGAATAGTTAATGGGACCAGGCAGCACCCAAGGAAGAGGCGGGTGTAGACAGGGAATAAGGTAAAACCCTTGTAGAAGCCCCTCTTTCAGGCAGACTGCTTCCCTTAGAACACTGCAGAGCCCTCTGCCTTCAGAAACAGACACCTTTCCCTTCCTCTCTTCCAACCTGCCCAGAGTGAAGCATGTTTTCCCAGGTGCTCCTGGATCCCTCCTTCCTCTGAAAGTGCCCCGCCCCCAGCCCCCAGCAGCTGCTCGCCAACCTCCCCAACCTCCTTCGCAGAGGACAGCTTTACTTCTTCCTCTCCACTGCCTCCTGCCTCTCTGCAGTTACTTGTTCTACTGTTCTTTCCTTCACACTTAAAACTATTCACAAGTTTCCTTCTGACTGTTTTAAAATTCTTTTATCAGTCAGACTAAGAAGTCAAACAGGAATTCTGTTTCCCAAAAGCACTTAAACTTCCAGTCTTCAGTACTGACACAGGCCTGAGGTAGCTGGAACGTGAAAGCTGATCTGGTATGGATGGATGGACTGAGGCATTCAAAACAAGGCTGCCTTGACTCAGTGAAGGCTTGACTCAGAGCAGGGCCACACTGCTGCCTCCAAGGAAGACCGCTACCAGAGCTATTCAGAACAAGCTCTAGCTAGAACGTGGATGCCATTTCTGATTCAAGCAGAAGGCTGTCATTGCTTCTAACAACACTTCACTTTTTCCAGAACACTGTAGCATTGAAACAATGGCCTGTGGAGAAACGCCTACCACCTGAGAAAAGTCGCTCCTTCAGTTGCCTCTGGGTAGACTTTGTCTCTCTAGGCCTTTCCACTGTGACTGTGCTGCAGTGTCTGACAAACTCAGCTTCCCCATCTTGTGTCTTTGGTGCACGCATTCACAGCTTGCGTTATTTCACCTGTCCGTCAGTGCTATCCCTGGCACAGAAGAGAACTTAGAAAAGCGGGAGGAGGTGACACTCAGCTTGGTCTTCACTGGGAAAGTGCCACTGATCATTGCCCTGTTTTCTGCCCCAAAGCTGGAGAGCTGTAGGCAGTGGAGTAAACACTGGCAAATATTGACAGAAGTCAGGGTTGTCCAGGACCATTCAGCCCATGCCTGCTGGGGAAGGCTAAACCTGCAGTTCAAAGGAACTGCTCAATGGGTGTTTGTGTTTCTAGAAACTGGGACATTTCTTAAAAGTTTGAGTTTGGCAGTCTTTCGTGGTTTCAAAGCTACCGGACACACCGTCTTCTCTCTGCTGCTCTTCAGTTACAAGAAAGTCTTTATTTCACGTTTGTTCCAGGAGGAAACTGTAACTCCTTCTCTAGAAGGAAGCTGTTCTGATCGTTAAGTGGTCAGAAGGATGCTTTGGATCGAAATTACGATTTAATTTCACCCTGGGTCAAGTAACTGCTCACCAAATGCTTTGTTGGGTTGTATGCTGTCTCGTGTGGCTGATTTCTGCCTTACACGGTAAGTGTGATTTTCTTACAAGATATTTCATGTCAATGTGTGGTTTAAGAGGCAGTCTGTGTAGGGTTTTAATGAAATTTACATTTATAGTATTTATTAAAAATTCTCAATTAAAATATATGCTCTATACTCATCGGGGACCTAGTTTATATTAACGGTGATCTTGCACCCTGGGCTGGGTGGTCATAGGTGACTTGCTCTTTTTATTCTGGAACCCCCAAAAGTAACAATTTCAATATCCTGAGATGTCAACTATTAAAAACTCTAGGACTGATCTTGGGAAGGGATTGCTTATTCAGGATTGGGTATATTGTGGCTGGATTTGACTACAGTGCCGATGATCTGTTTGGGAACATAACTTCAGAAATTCTTGGAGAATGGGGGATGGGGATACACATTCCATGGAGAGAGAGGATTGGTCTAGCATAGACTTGGAGGGAGGAATACAGTGAGATGTCCTTGCAGCCAGTGATATGCCAAATGATTCCATTTCTTTGTTCCTTCCCACAGAGAGCTGTTCCGAACTTCCTCCAGTGGATAATAGTGTATTTGTTGCAAAGGAAGTAGAAGGACAGATTCTGGGGGATTTCCTATGTATCAAAGGCTACCACTTGGTGGGAAAGCAGTCTTTGGTCCTCAATATCTCAGAGGAATTGGATGTCTCCCCCCCTGAGTGCCGCTGTGAGTTTGGTTTTTCTGTTCATATCACCATCTCCTTATCCTGTTATATCCTGCTTCCTGTAGGCCATGCTAAAATTGTACAAAAAAATCAAACAAACAAACAAACAAACAAAACCCCCTCAATTTCTAGGATGCTACTGTGCGTTTCTCCCCGGTGATTCTGAGACAGGATCTAGTTACGGCAGACATCATGTTGGCCTGGAATTTGATTTGTAGCCCCCAGGGACCTGGAACTTCCAACCCCAGCCAGTGCTGGGATTTCAGGCACATCTCCAATGCCTGTCCATCAATTTACTTTAAAGAAAACTATACCCTTAGTTTATGTATCTGGTAAGTGAGAGTCTTTTTCCAGGTGACAAAACTCATTGTGTGGTCTTCCGCAATGACAGAGCATAATTTTTTCCAGATTGCTCCTGTTGTAGCTATTTTCTAATAAGCTATGTTAATTTTATGTAAACCTAACATTTTAAACTCTCTTTCATATGGAAAAATTTGCATCCCTCTCCATTGACTCCTTATTTTCAACAAGAAAGAAACAATTAAAACAGTAAGAAAAGAGAAAGTAAGACATGAATAAGTATATATATTTGGCTAGATGAAAGAAAGGGAAAGATTTACTTGAAACATAGACTTAAGATGTTTGAACAGTGTTCAGTAACGCAGTACATTGAACATGTTACTGGGCATAGCCCGTCATATGCTCCACTATGCGCAGTTCAGGTGTCAATCATCATTCTTGTGCATGACCATGTTGCGTGACATTGAAAAATGCCTGCCCATCCCAGATACGGAACTAATGACAGACTGAAGTTAAGCCTACTACCAAAGTCCAGCTTGGTGAATCAGTGAGTTTATTGAAGTTATTTCCAGAAGGATGGTGAGGGCTTACTTACAGGAGCAGAGATGACTCCAAGACAACTGCATCGCTGAAAGCCCCCCAGCTGCTATGAAGGCTCACAAAAGCTGGGAACCTGCGGCTCTCTCTACAGCTTGCAGCTGAACAGGTTGAAAAATTTCTCTCAGGCCACTCAACTGGCATGAGCAGCTCCCAGTAGTCCTTATTGCTGATATAACCTTAGGGAGGGAAGAACCTTGTGAATTTGGTCAGGTTCAGGATCTTCCAGAGGCTTCTTAGCTGTTTTCTTGCTGAATTCTTTCCCTTTAGAAGTTCCAGAGTCTTAATGAGCCTTCTTTTGAAGGCTGTAGGTCTTAAGGAGCTTTGGAGGAAATTTCCGCACAGTAGTCCACTCCTTTTTCCACAGTTATGGTACCTTGGCCTTTATGGTTTGACAATACCTATCCTTTTAGATAGACGGGCACCATTCTGTTCTGAGTTACTGTTATCTTTCGGAAGCTTGGGGACATGTGACTTTTACCTCTTCCTAGCCTCTCAGAGCACTGACTGTTCTCTTCTTCAGTGGGCCATTGTCCCGAGCCTGTACTGGGAAATGGCACGGCCAATTATTCTGGGCCTGTGAGTGCGAGAGACAAAATCACGTTTAAGTGCATTGATGGTTACATCCTCAAGGGAAGCAACTGGAGCCAGTGCCAAGAGGACCACACCTGGGCACCTTCCCTACCCATATGCCAAAGTAGTAAGTACTGATTAGTATTGTCACTCTGGGTGACTGTTGCCTTGTGCTGCCATCTTAGTATATACATCGAGTAAAAACTTCCCCTGCCATGTCAATTACTTCTCCTTCCACTGTGACCCAAATTTTCCTCGTTCCTTTCTTCCTCTTCCCTCCCCTCCTCTCCCAACTTCTGATCCTCCCGCTTTCACTTCAGGAGGGCTGGGATTGTAGGTGTGCCACCATTCTTGTTATCCGATGCTGGTGCCTGAACCCAGGGCTTCAAGCACGCGAGGCAGGCACTCTGCCAGCTGAGCCACGCCTTCTGCCCTAATTCGCTGTCGCTTGAACCCCGCTCCCGGCCCCCTGTAGCTGAGGGGGTAAGCTGGGGAAGGAGGCTTTTCCACAGATGATTATGATTTCATGAGAACAGAATGAGTGAAGGACATGCTCCTGGGTCCCACTTGTACCAGCATGAAGACGGTGGACTCTAGAGCCCACACAGCGTAGGAAGCACTGCCCTGTGAATTGCACCCGGCTCTCACAGATCTCACTCCCGGCTGTCTTCCCCTTAGGAGACTGT